GCGAAAACGATTTTCTGCACTTGTCCAAGGATTTGTATAGTAAACTATACAAATCGATGGCCTTGACTAGAAGTCTTTGAAGCAACTTTCTTTCTTTCTTTTCAGTAAATCCCTCCACTATCTGGAGCACCACAGGAATACTGTGTAACAGAGCAACGGATTTTAAAACTTCTTCTGCATGTGTGGGCCTAAGTTTATATCTTCGAAACTACACAGTAGAATATAGTCTTTACAGCAGCACAGATAGATACACATTTTCCTACCACCTATAAGAAAACGCAATGCACAACTTACAGAATTTTTAGGTAAAGCATAAATAAATTGTCTTTCTTACAACCCACATTTTCGCTCCGGATGTCTGACCTCCGATGGTTAAAAGATGTCATTTAAAGTTCCCTCATAACAAAATATACACTGTTGTCCTGTATAATCCGACCAGAATGAAATATTTTTTGGACTGTTATTTGACATGTCTTGATTTTTTTCTCTTTTTGTTCATGGTGTTGTACGTTCCTCTCTAACGTTTTTTTCCCTTTTTGGTCATGGTGTTGTACGTTCTTCTCTAACGTTTTTTTCCATCTTTGGTCATGGTGTTGTACGTTCTTCTCTAACGTTTTTTCCCCTTTTTGGTCATGGTGTTGTACGTTCCTCTCTAACGTTTTTTTCCTTTTTGTTCATGAATGGTGTTGTACGTTCCTCTCTAACGTTTTTCCTCTTTTTAGTCATGGCGTTGTACGTTCCTCTCTAACGTTTTTTTCCCTTTTTGGTCATGGTGTTGTACGGTCCTCTCTAACGTTTTATTGTTTTTAAACACTCGCAAACCAACGACACAAATCACATTTACATGTCAACATCCGGAGGGTCTACAACGATTAATACAATATATAGACTGTAAAGTGTAAAGTGTATATATGTTGTGTACAAGTTATCATTTTGTACAAATTATAATTTGTACAAAAAAATTGTACAAATTATAATTTGTATTTTGACTTTGTACAAATTGTAACTTGTACAAAAAGTGCTTGTACAAATTACAATTTGTACAAAATTTGACTAAAATTCACTTACAACTTGTACAATAATTTATAGTATGAGTTTTGTTATAAAAAAAGATTGATACACACTATTGAATGTGTATTCAATGACCACACAAAAAACCTTATTTATACAAAACAAATACCCAGATGGAGACAGGAAATGTAAATGATACATGCATGTCAGTTATGGTCGTGCCCCAACTGATCCTCGAAATATCTTAGGTGTAATTATTGAATCTGGGGAATTTGGGTACCGCATTGGAACAGCTATAGGAATTTTAACAGGATATTTGTTGAGAAATTAAATTGAAGCTGTTAAAGACACATCTTTATTCGTAGCAACGGTTCCTGAGCTTCAACTTTTGCTACGTGAATCAGTTAAACGGCTTTCAAACCTGGTGGTCAGGGTCCGTTAGGGGGTTCTTTTATGTAAATGCAAAGGGGGTGCAGCACTTCTATATGTAAATGTAAAAAGCAAAAGATGCAAAAAGATGCAATTCCCGATGCCATTATAGCATAATTCACTCACATGCTCAAACAAATGATACAGAACTATTTTTTTTATTTTGTAAATAAGGTTTCAAAAACTGGTGGTCAGGGTCCGTAAGGGTTTTTTTTCATGTAAATGCAAATAGAGCACTTCTAAACGTAAATGTGAAAAGCAAAAGATGTTGTGCAATTCCCGATGCCATAATTCACCCACATGCTCAAACAAATGATACAGAACTATTTTTGTATTATGTAAATAAGGTTTATTGTGTGGTCATTGAATAAACATTCTATTGTGTGTATCAATGCCTTTTTTTAATAACAAAATCCATACTAAATTATTGTACAAGTTATAAGTGAATTTTAGTCAAATTTTGTACAAATTGTAATTTGTACAAGCACTTTTTGTACAAATTACAATTTGTACAAAGTCAAAATACAAATTATAATTTGTACAATTTTTTGTACAAAATGATAACTTGTACACAACATATACACTGTGTCAAACTCTTGTCCCGAGTCAATAAGATTGTAAATAAATTTAATAAAGACTATACATGAACTAATTTATTAAATCACAAAAAGCTTAAGATAGAAAAAGACAACAATGGACGAGCTTCATTGCTTAGGTCAGATACATGAACATGTGTCGGTTTAAATAGTTCAGTTAGACTATAAAGCAAAGAAACCCCAAAGATTTGAAGGACAATCCCTAAACCTGCTATGTTTATGAATAATATTACTATAAATCTGGGTTTGAAATACCAGGCATGCAATTTCTATATTATATGTGTATGTTATATGAATGTTGTTTGACGAAATTGTAAGTTTTGGGAAAGATCGATCATATTTATTTTGGAAAATTAAATACTTGATATTGAATTGTACTGTATTACATTCCTGCAGGTATAAAATCGATCATAATTCCACAACTTTTTATATTTGTGATAAAACCAATATTTGAAACAATTCAGTAGAGAAAACCAACGACCGGATTTATGATTTAAGGAATGACTGTAATATTTTTTCTGTCTATGAAGAAATAACATAAAAAATGTGGTGCACACTAAATAACCCGCGCAGCGGGTTATTTTAAAGTGTGCACCACATTTTTTATGTTTGTGCACCACATTTTTTATGTTATTTCGAAAAGACAGAAAAACTATTACAGCTATTCCTTATAATTTAATTCTAAAAAGGAGTAAATCATGATAAAAATGTTGATGACGTCGCAGTCGCATGACAAACTTGTGTCTATGAGCTGATACACAAAACACTTTCAGCCAATCAGAAGACGCATTACATCCAAAATTAAATTATTCAACAATGAAACAACGAAACAATACCAGGCAGCAACCAATGACAATCACTTGCTTACCAGTTCCTGGCTTGGGATACGTTACGATACATCAACAGTGTGGATGGATTAAACATGTTCTTGAGTGCTCAGCTCTCCCCATAACCTAGCTTGGATGTCGCTCGCCTATGTCTATGTGCATGTTCAGCAATGGACACTGTAACATTGTAGACTAGAATATAGAATTCATGATATCAAGCTATTTTTCGTTGATCTTGTATTGCTGATCATTTTTCTGTTTACAGTTTCTCTCTACTTTCTTATCTATCCAAAACACTAAAAAGGTTAGAAAAATATAAGGGCAAACACTCGTACAAAAAGTCTCACTTGGCCGTTTGGACAACAGGCACCAAGTGTAAGACAACAGGCATCAAGTGTAAGAAAAGCTCACTTGGCCGTTTGGACAACAGGCACCAAGTGTAAGAAAAGCTCACTTGGCCGTTTGGACAACAGGCACCAAGTGTAAGAAAAGCTCACTTGGCCGTTTGGACAACGCGCCAAGTGTAAGAAAAGCTCACTTGGCCGTTTGGACCAGGTGAGTTAAAAACAAAATACGACCGGACTGTTAAATTAGTTGGAAAGAGCTTGACTATAAGATCGGTGCTAACGGAGACTTAGGTACTAAGCACTAAACAAAAACTTTTTATTTCGACAACCTTAGGCCTTTCATGCTTCGATATGTAAATACAGATTAAGTATTATTAATGAGTCCTCAAACCATTGTGTGTAATGCTATCTTAGGACAGCTTTGAATTACAGTCTAAGACATAATATTACTAGTAAATTCTGTTGGAAGATTTATCTAATAACATCTACTCTATCTTGAGATACTATTGAAATCCAGGCCCTAAGTCTTTGTTGATCAAACTGGGGACATGTGATCATGGTGATAACAGTGTGTTTCTGCTCCTGTACACGTATACAGCTTCTTACTTAACTGGATGATAGGCAAACAACAATCACTTGTTTATTCATATCCAAATATTTATGTAATTACATTTTATAAGTTAGGTTAGTATTGTTGAATTTATTAACTTTATTAAGGAAGATCTCTATCAATCTTTCCACCAGTGATTTTGATTACTGATTATATAATATACGAGGGTCTGGATGGGGAAAGGGGGGGTGTCCTTCACTTCCATATTCTTTAATTTTTTTTTGGCCATTTTTCTCCATTCTTTATACGGTAGCACATTATTCTCTATTCTTTATATTTTAGCACCTCATTATTCTCTATTCTTTATATTTTTGCCCATTATTCTACATTCTCTAAACACCCATCCACATCCTCATATATCTTCTAAGTTATTTTATGATCTCATTCAAATAGGCAAGAGATTTAAGAAAACAAAATGGACATTTAATTGACACTAAGATATATAACTGTATGATGGCATCCTTCATTTATATTAGTTCAAATTTGATGCAAGGGAAGAAACATGTGATGGATTATTGAATTTGTGTTCAATGTCCAGTGGCAAATAGTACATTCATATCAGGACAATCACATGTCTTTTAAATGTTATTTGAATATGAACCCTGCTATGTACTCAACAGAAACACAGATGATTTTAAACCTGCTAGTTTACATGATAACAGTCTGCAGGAAGACAAGCAACTGGACACATTATTTAAACTCTGACTTACTACTTAATGCTGCATGCTTAGGGATTAAATGCAAATAGCAATTTTTATTTTTTTGGTTTGACGCAGACAAACATCAACCAGATGACCTGCCAGGCTTGAGCTAACAATGCTACCAATAACTAAACAGCACCAAGGCAGTCGCTTTACATCCTAAACATCCAATTGTATTGTTGAATAAAACTTGTCACCAAGTTTGTACTACCATGAATAACATGAAGGGTGCCACATGTGAAGCAGAAATTGCTTACCCTTCCAGTGCACCTGAGATCATCACAGTTTTTGTTGTTCAGTCTGTGGTTTTCTATGTAGTAATTGTGTCTTGTTCGTTTCTTTTCTTCTCCAAATGATTACTCATTATTTAATCATTCAAGTATCGAAGGTTTTGTTCGATTGTAATTATTCTGCTCAACCTGGGTGCTGTGATTGGCAAATAAAGTATATGTTGTTATTTAAGACATTAAGAAACAAAATTTAGGCATAAACATTTATTAAAGCAATAATAATTAATAAATAGTTCATAAAAATCTTATCAAATCTTAAACAAAAGAGTATTCTTCAACACTTTTTATAAATATAATCTGACAACCCTGTTGTATTATATAGCTGTAAACATAGTGAAATTACAAACAGCTGTATGTCTGGAAGACTTCTTCACATTTTTTAATTACATGAAAATTATGGAACATTACAAAAAGTTCTTTTAAGGTAATATGGGGGTATAAACAAAACATCACACAATTATTTTCATATGTTGCCAAAATGTAGTTTTTATTGTGCTTTTTTCAAAAATATAATAAAAACTATTATGTCAGCAAACTTTTTTTCAAGCTTCAAGTTGTGAAAAACTGACACATTTTGAAAACCGCAATACACTTGTTTTTCTAAAATACATGTACAAAAACGAAATTTAACTGTACTGTCCAATATAAAATTAAATTATCTGAGTTATCTGCCCTTATAATACTAAGTTTGATGGAACCATATAATTTTCTTTTGTTTAAATCATAATTATGACAAAAGAATTGCATTCCTATCTCAATCATTAAAGCTTGTGACAGATTGTTTTTCCCTACCTAGTGATAAAAGTTGACAGAAGACCCCCATACTACCTTCAGCAAACCATTTATTTATTTTTTTTACAAATGTTTTATTTTTCTAATTAGAAGAATTAGTCATCACAATTAAAAGAAACTTATTTCATAATTTCTTTTCTAATTAATTTTATTCATTTAGTATAAAACCAAAATAAACAAATCTTAGATTCTTCCCCAATTAATTTAAGTGCAAAATTAAAAAAAAATGCATTGATTTTTATCTATTTTTGTTTTGTTTTTTGCAATATGCTGCCATAAAAATTGTCAAAAATAAATCTTAATTAGACAAAAATTCTCCAATTTAAAAAAAAAAAAAATGTTGGATGAGAATCTAAGATTTTTTTTATTATGGCTTAAACAGTAATTTTTCTTATTCCATATGGCAATATATAAAAGTATGCAAAGATAATAAATCTAACTTGTAATATATAAGATATGTGAAAAAATATATAAGAATTTGTGATTTGGCAAGACATCATGTGTTTATAATTTGCGTGTTTTCCTCAAACATTGGTTAGAAATTTGTGACAGAAATATGTAAAAAAACATCATATCATTACATGTAAAGCTCTTTTTAAAGCAAAAAAATATTTAAAGCTATAACATATCTTTGACCAAAACAAATCAGCTTGTTTAAAAAAAAACATTAAGCAAACAAAATTTTAATAATCTTCATAGTCCGGCAAATTTTTTTAATAATCTGGCAAAAAATTTGCTAATAAACTAATTTGAGAGGAGCCAAGTATCGTAAAGTATTGTATGCATTGTTCGTTGAACTAATGTAGGTTTTTTTGAAGAATTATGATGTTGTCTGGCGACGAATCTTAGTTCTGACAACTTGCAACATAATAAGTTTACGAGCTCCAAACTTGTCTCCAAGGGCAACTATGGTTCCTTTGTCTTGACTCATGGTTACATTAAAGACATCGACACCAGTATTAAAGGCACAGATCTCACTTCCGTTTTTCGTACGCCAGAGACGAATAGTACCGTCTTTGGAACCTGAGACAATGATCTCATTATCAACAGATATGGCAGAACACCAAACCTGAAAAATATAGGGAAACAATTGTTATGTAACAATTCAAATTAGATGAATTTACTTAAAGTTACTATTAATTTATGGTATATCCAGAAATAAAAAGTAAGATGGTTGGATCTTTTAAGGTCTGCACCAAAATCTTTTCCAACTACTAGTATAAAGACCAATAATCAGACATTTTTCTTATGTGTTTAAACAGAGCTTTGCAAATACTTGCTTGTCCGAATAAAATGAATGGACCATCAGACTAGTGTCAAACGGTGCAGACTGCTTGGAAAAACATATCTTTTAATCCCATTCTGCATAAAATTTAAGTTCAATTAATGTTTTCCTTTACTCTTGAGGCTTTCTCCAAGATGATAATTTTACTAATATAATCTGATGTTTTATCTTTTTTTTTCACAGAATACAAATCAGGGGAGATAATCATCATTACCAATAAAAGTTGCAAGATAACCAAATATCTAATTGCAAATCACTTTGAAGGCACTTTCTCCAAGTTGATAATTCCACTAAGATAGTATGATTTTCTTTATTTTCTTTTTTTATAGAATACAAAATAAAGGAGATATAATCTACATTTTTTGTTTGTTACCACACCAAAATGTCGCAAATTTCAAAATATTAATTCTTGCAACTTGCTGCTCATGTGAACTTAGTCATCCGTGGGTCATATTTAGTAAAACTTCTAGACGTTCCCCTGCGTCTATCCTATAAAGTGAAAATCCCCATTCCTTTTCTTTCATGGTAAGAACTGAAAATACTCTATACCTTAGCAAAATTAGTTAGGCTTATGTATTTAATGTTTTACAACAGGCTTCATCTGAGTAGACAAGAGAGGACTGCCCATAGTGGGCAGGTTCAAATGCCCCCTAGTGGCCAGAGCTTGTGTAACTTTACAAGCTATAAACTAACCTCATCAGTATGTCCTGACATTGTCTGCACTGGCTTTTCTGTTGTCATATCCCATAATTTCATTGTGTTGTCTGCGGAACAAGAGACTAAATATTTATTGTCCTGTGATAATGACACAGCCTTAACTTCTTTACTGTGGGCATGGCCGCCAGATGATAATAACTGACGATCAGCTTGACCTGAACGTAATTTCCAAATAACGAGATCACCATTACGTAAACCTGTACAAGCTTCTTCATGTGGCAATATGGCGGTACATTCAGGATTAGCATCCAATCGTAAAATACTAGCATCGTTTATATTATAACTTGTTAATGTCATATCAAACACTACAAATTCTGCGTAATTGTCGAAAGAGTTTGTAAATCCCGCCACACAGTAGCGGTCATTCTGTGACAAAGCTAAGAAATTTATATAGTCATTGTTTCCTACAGGTGCATCGTAACGCATTTCTTTGATTGGTTGGTTACCTAATAAGTCCCATACTACGATACTTGAAGCATTGCCGAATTTGTCTGAACGTCCAAATACGACCTTGTCTGGATCTGACATTACACATAAAGCTGAGCATGTTTCTTCTACTCCCATGTCTAATGGCTTCCCTGTTGTAAAGTCCCAGATCTGAAAATTAGGAAAACACATATATCAAATAATATCAAAATAACTGACTGACTCCCACAGAAATTAATAGTTACAGGTATAGACAAGTCATTATTATGTATTATGGTAAAAAAAAAGCAAACTATCTCTATTATGTGAATTAGTTTTGGTTTGTCAATACAAATAGGTTATATCAAATTACTGTAAATGTTGATGTGTGTCTCTTTAAAAATTCAATTTCAAATATATCATATGTTAATAAAAGCAAGGCCCCTAAGAGCCCATTGAAAAATTACAGATAACAATTTCCTTGAGTATTTATTGGCTAAGATTGTGTCTATAGAAGCCAATGGATGTTGGAGATGATTATCAATCAAAAAATTTAATTTGCTGAATAATTCGTGCAATATAGCACCATATTTTTTCAACCGCTCACTCAACATAAGAAGGAAGTGACGATGCTCCTTAACGGACAAATGATGTTCACTAAAACCAAAGGTTTTGACGGAAATGCAACAAACTTGAAAGTGGTCTATTGTGCCATATAAAAATTAGGAGATGTGGTATGATTGCCAATGTCTCATTCAACTACCCATCAGATGATGTGGATATAAATGTTTACCAAGTTTAACCTTTGTAAAAAGATAAGGAGTGCTTTGCAGTATCATAAACTACATTAATATGAATCACTTACTGTTGAACAGGTCTTGGGATATATTCCCAATTCTAAATCTCATTCTAGCCAATAAAACCTTGGCCACATCATGAGTCAACCAATCAAAACTGATATTCGTTCAAGTTATTTTTCAAGATGGTGTGAATATCAAATGAAACTTTTAAAATAGCTATGCACATACCTGCCAACTTTGGGGGATTTAAGGCACAAGAGGACCTAATGCATACCTATACATGTCATAGTGTACTTAATTTGAATATCTATGGTTTTGAATGAGTATACATGTGTTTAAATGTATTTTTACTCCTCTGAATGCCTTTTTTAATTTTGGTCTAAATATTTGAGTTGTATAAGGATCAGGTCAACACCTCTCATGGGAAATATCCCCCCCCCCCCCCCCCCCCCCCCAATAAAATGGGAATGTTGGCAGGTCTGTTTGCACCATGATGCAAAGCAATAACTAACAGTTCATAGTCATTTCCAACAAATCTGTAGTGATAATATGACAAACTATCATTCACCAGAATTATGCTGTGTTAATTATTGCAAAATATACCAATATTTATTATAGATATACCTCATGTTCATTTCTTTTTTCAAAAACTGAAGCCAGAACCCTACCTGTAATTTTTTAACTGTTACACCTTTTCTTGTAGAAAATTCATTTATTTCTAAATCAGCATGGACTGCTCCAACTAATAACCGATCATTACAAGCCAGATGTAGATTTGTTGATCCCACTGTGTCTCCTTTCATTATTCTTAGTAATTCTCCTGTCTGAAAGATAGAAAAAAAAATATACACAATGAAAACATTTTTATGCTTTTAATATTTCAAGTTCAGTGAAACCAAGGATTTACATATTATACATATTAAGGTGGTACCTAACACTACAGGGAGATAACTCTGTAAAAATCAGCTAAACGTTTTAATTACGTTGTATTGTTAAGGATATATTAAGCTTCTCAATGATCAAAATTAGTGTTTGTCAAACTGCTATATAACCAATGAAATTTTTCTGATAAAGTGGTTGGTTCAAATTTTTTGAAATTTTTATATTTTTGTCAAAGGGTCAAAGTAAACATTTTGTCAAAATTTTATGAAAATTAAACGAGCCAAATTAATATTAGTCAAGGTGTTTGGTACCACCTTAAGTTTTACTAAATAAATCATTGTTGAAACTTACTCTTCAATAGTAAACGATAAAAGTTCCTTTAGCTTTTTTGAAAGTCAATTTACCCAGTGTGTGTATTTAGACCTTCCTACACACTCCATACTTGTGGCGGTCCCAGTGTTTATTTTTAGACCTACCTGCATATTCCATACTTGTGGCAGTCCCAGTGTTTGTATTTAGACCTACCTGCTAATTCCATACTTATGGCAGTCCCAGTATTCAAACCTTCCTGCATATTCCATACTTGTGGTGATCCCAGTGACAGTATTTAGACCTACCTGCATATATATATATATATTCCAGACTTGTGGCGGTCCCAGTCAGTATATGTTTAGACCTACCTGCATATTCCATACTTGTGGTGATCCCAGTGACAGTATTTAGACCTACCTGCATATATATATATATATATTCCAGACTTGTGGCGGTCCCAGTCAGTATATGTTTAGACCTACCTGCATATTCCATACTTTTGGTGATTCCAGGGACAGTACTTAGACCTATCTGCATATTCCATACTTTTGGTGGTCCCAGGGACAGTACTTAGACCTACCTGCATATTCCATACTTGTATTGGTCCCAGGGACAGTACTGAGACCTACTTGCATATTCCATACTTGTGACAATCCCAGTCAGTATATACTTAAGATCTACCTGCATATTTCATACTTGTGGCAGTCCCAGTATTCAAACCTACCTGCATATTCCATACTTGTGGTGGTCCCAGTGTTGATCCTGTTACAACTGTACGTCCATCTTCATTCATCAGACAACAGTCTACACGTACTTCATCTCCAGCAGCTCCAGGGGTGACGGCACCACTAGCAGAATGATATGTAACTAGTTGTTGTGTTCCTTGGTTGTTGATAAGTACTGTTCTCACATTCTGAACCTTCAAAAAATAAAATACAAATATTACTGGAAAAGGTATGATGGTATTATATTTTCAGTGAATAAGATTACCCTCAAACTTCTTTTATTACATCTATTGCACTGATCGTCCTGAAAATGCATGAACTATTTGCCACTGGACATTAAGCAAACAACAATCAATCAATCCATTACAGTGAAACACTGTGTCAAAGAAAACGTCCAGTATTTTCATGCTATAGCTTCATACAACAATCGGTCTAAAGACATTGTCAATGATATTGCATTGTATCAATACAAAGTGAGAAAACATAAAAGAAAATGATTACCTTCCTTCTATTTCATACTTTACATTACAAGTCATTGTAATACAATTTTCAACTTTTAACCAATTGATTGATTGTTTTTGGTGTTTTACACCACTTTCAGCACTAATGAATAAATGTGTTATTTGGTCATTGGTTGAATATTTTTTCAACATTCTAATTCTTGGATTAGTTATTCTATAAATATTAGATCCTCCACCACATTACCTGATAAGAAGACTGCATTGTGCTGTATTTATTCATAGTATTAGAGCCACCACCACCACCTCCCATCATGGTTCCTGTTCCAGATGCTAAGTCATAATCAGCTGTTGTAGATTCACCGGCATCCATAGCTGAGTGACCACCAAGAGACTGACCACCCATTGTATTTGAACTGTACATTTTAGATGCAGAGTAGTTGCTGGTTCCAGTTCCATATCCTGCACTTCCACCTCCGCCAGTAAGAGTTCCAGTTCCATATCCTCCACCTCCACCGCCGCCACCAATGGTGCGTGTAGTAGTTGTTGAGTATTCTCCACTTGTCATACCATAACCACCTCCACCACCACCGCCATAACCTCCTCCGCCACCACCGCCATATCCTTCTCCACCAGCAATACCATATCCTCCTCCAGCTCCGCCAGCACCACCTGCTGTTGCCGTATTACTTGTATAATATGACGAGAATGCTGATCCTCCGCCTGCACCTCCTCCCATACCACCGCCGCCAGCTCCACCGCCACCATTCACAACTGTTACCTACAGAGAAAAATAAATGCAGTTTTTAGAAAAATCATCTTATTTATCAGTTATTTTCCGAGGATATGAAAAAGAGCTTTTTTCCCTATTTTCCAACTGTTGCTTTTTTTGGTTCAAAATTCTGATCTGTAAGCATCTTAAATCTCTGGTTTTCATCTAGGTGTTTATTAAATTTCATTCCTTTAAAATATAATTTTCAGAACAAAACATATTTTTAATTAGTTCATTTCTAAGACATGAATTAAAAGTTTTGAACATATGTGAAAGGCTTCCACTATTAGTTGTACTTATAAAGATACAACTTCAATTTTCTATGGATGCAGTACGTGTATATAAACAATCTTATAAAAAGTTTCACTGTAAGACATATTTGGCTGCAGACCCCCTTAAATATCACAACATTATATTGATATCGTACTATAAGGCCTTCTTTGAGAAAAAAAAACAAAAGAAAAAGAAAAAGCTGAAAATATTCATGGTAATGTAAACACATTGAAATTAAAATCCTTCCCAATTCACAGAAGTGCTATTAGCTGTCACTCCAGGTAAATTTTGTCAAAATAAGCTAAAAAACATTGCAAATGTATTATTAGCTTTTAGTAAAAAATTCAGTTTATTTGAACCCTTTAATTTGACTTGGGTTACGCAAGTTCTAACCATGTTCAGTTGTTAAACAAAAGAATGTCAACATTGTTTCATACAGCAATTTTAAGTTAGGCCACAAACTACAAAATAAGTTAAAGCCCCATTTAAGATATATTTTAAGTACAAAAACCTCAACTTTTAAAAAATTTACCAGCATTAGCAGATAAGTTAGAAGAAAAGAAAATCAGTAAGAAGCTATCATATTAATCAAGGGACAAGAGTTATTTTAAAATACTTAAACTGTTTAAAACAAGGAATTATTTGAATCTGGAATAATTTCAAATTCTGTAAAATTGATAACTAGAGGCTCTCAAGAGCCTGTGTCGCTCACCTGTATTTACTGATGCTTTGGAAATCATGTAAAATAAGGTTAAAATCATAATTAATAGTATTAGATATTAGATATTATAATGATATCTAAGATAATAACAAAAAACTGCTAAATTTTTGTAAAATAACTAACTCAGGGGCAGCAACCCAACAACGGGTTGTCGGATTCGTCTGAAAATTTCAGGGCAGATAAATCTAAATCTGATGAACAGATTTGCTCTAAATGCTTAAGTTTCAGAGATATAAACCAAAAACTGCATTTTACCCCTATGTTCTATTTTTAACCAAGTCGGCCATGATGGTTGGAAGGTGGGGTCATCGGACAAATTTTTTACACTAGATACCCTAATAATGATTATGGCCAAGTATGGTTAAATTAATTTGTCTCAGTAGTTTCAGAGAAGAAGATTTTTGTAAAAGATTACAAAAATTTACAAAAAATTGTTAAAAATTGACTATTAAGGGCAATTACTCCTAAAGGGGTCGACTGACAATTTTGGTCATGACAACTTATTTGTAGATCTTACTTTGCTGAACATTATTGCTGTTTACAGTTTATCTCTATCTATAATAATATTCAAGATAATAACCAATAAAATGCTCCGCAGGGCGCAGCTTGATACGACCGCAGAGGTCGAACCCTGAACAGTTGGGACAAGTATGGACACAACATTCAAGCTTGATACAGCTCTGAATTTGGATTGTGATTAAATATTTGACACAGCATAGGTTTCTGACACAGAATGAATGTGGTCTAAGAACTTAAAAATTTTAAATTGGACATTCACCTATTATGGTCCAATATCCAAAATCTAAATACATGGTTAGATTCAGCATATCAAAGACCCCCAAGAATTCAATTTTTGATGAAATCAAACAAAGTTTAATTTTGGACCCTTTTGACCTCAATGTGGACAAAGTTGATAACGGGGCCCAAAAATCAAAAATCTAAATACATGGTTAGATTCAGCATATCAAAGAACCCCATATATTCAATTTTTGTTGAAATCAAACAAAGTTTAATTTTAGACCCTGATTTGGACCAACTTGAAAACTGGGCCCATAATCAAAAATCTAAATACATGTTTAGATTCAGCATATCAAAGAACCCTAAGAATTCAATTTTTGTTAAAATCAAACTTAGTTTAATTTTGGACCCTTTGGACCTTAATGTAGACCAATTTAAAAACGGAACTAAAAATTAAGAATCTAAATACACGGTTAGATTCGGCATATCAAAGAACCCCAATAATTCAATTTTTGATGAAATCAAACAAAGTTTAATTTTGGACCCTTTGAACCTCAATGTGGACCAATTTAAAAACGGGGCCCAAAATCCAAAAACTTAATACACGGTTAGATTCAGCATATTAAACAACCCCAAGAATTCAAGAATAAAACCCCATTGAAATTGGTCAAGAAATAAGCAATTTATACGAAGTATCTTCTTTTGCACAATACTGTGCAATTGAATATTTCTTGCTATTGTGCAATACTGCACAATTGACAATTTTTTGCTATTGCGCAATATTGTGCTATTGGATATTTCTTGCTATTGCGCAATACTGTGCAATTGAAGATTTCTTGCTATTGCGCAATACTGTGCAATTGAAGATTTCTTGCTATTGTGTAATACTGTGCAATTGAAAATTTCTTGCTATTGCACAATACTTATTATATAATAATTTACACATCCTGTTTGGTGTGTATCTCCTACCATATCATTATTATTTGCTTTTAAATATAAATCAGAAATAACCAACTTAAAATGGAAAATTTTAAAAGAAAAAAAAAATGAAAAACCCCCCCCCACCCTCAAATTTTTTGAACCCCCTTATGATTCATCACCCCCAAACTCAATCCCAGCCTTCCCTTTGTGGTATATTACCTTGCAGTACAATTTCAGAGAGATCCATACACTTGAACACAAGTTATTGTCTGGAAACTAGAAAAATGTGTTTTTGGGCCCTTTTTTGGCCCCCAATTCCTAAACGTTTCGGGCAATTACCCACAAACTCAATTCCAGCTTTCCCTTTGTGATATGGAACCTTGTAGTACAATTTCAGAAATATCCAAACACTTACACACAAGTTATTGTCATAAAACTAGAAAAATGCTTGTTTTTTGCCCCTTTTTTGGCCCCTAATTCCTAAAATTTTGAGGCAATTACCCCCAAATTCAATCCCAGCATTCCCTGTGTGATATGGAACCTTGTGGTACAATTTCAGAGAGATCCATACACTTGAACACAAGTTATTGTCTGGAAACTAGAAAAATGCTTATTTTTGGCCCCTTTTGGGCCCCTTATTCCTAAACGTTTCGGGCAATTACCCCCAAACTCAATTCCAGCTTTCCCTTTGTGATATGGAACCTTGTAGTACAATTTCAGAAATATCCAAACACTTACACACAAGTTATTGTCATAAAACTAGAAAAATGCTTGTTTTTTGCCCCTTTTTTGGCCCCTAATTCCTAAAATTTTGAGGCAATTACCCCCAAATTCAATCCCAGCATTCCCTGTAAGATATGGAACCTTGTGGTACAATTTCAGAGAGATCCATACACTTGAACACAAGTTATTGTCTGGAAACTAGAAAAATGCTTATTTTTGGCCCCTTTTGGGCCCCTTATTCCTAAACGTTTCGGGCAATTACCCCCAAACTCAATTCCAGCTTTCCCTTTGTGATATGGAACCTTGTAGTACAATTTCAGAAAGATCCATACACTTTCACACAAGTTATTGCCATGAAACTAGAAAAATGCTTGTTTTTTGCCCCTTTTTTGGCCCCTAATTCCTAATATTTTGAGGCAATTACCCCCAAAATCAATCCCAGCATTCCCTTTGTGATATGGAACCTTGTAGTACAATGTCAGAGAGATCCATACACTAACACACAAGTTATGTCTGGAAGTTACAAAAATGCTTATTTTTGGCCTCTTTTTGGCCCCTAATTCCTTAACTGTTGGTACCATAACCCCCAAAATCAATCCCAACCTTCCTTTTGTGGTATTGAACCTTATGGTAAAATTTCATAGAGATCCATTCACTTAAACTAAAGTTAGAGTGTGAAAACCAGTGTGTCTTCGGACGACGCAGGACGACGCCGGACGACGACGCCAACGTCATACCAATATACGACCACAAAATTTTTTGCGGTCGTATAAAAACTGCAAAATTTCCTTAAAATTACCAATTCAGGGGCAGCAAGTGCCAGCAACCCAACAACAGGATGTCAGATTTGTCTGAAAATTTCAGGGCAGATAGATCTTGACCTGATAATCAGTTTTACCCTATGTCAGATTTACTCTAAATGCTTTGGTTTCAGAGATATAAGCCAAAATCTACATTTTACCCCTATGTCCTTTTTTTAGCCATGGCGGCCATCTTGGTTGGTTGGCGGGGTCATCGGACGAAGGACGCCAAGTGATGAGAAAAGCTCACTTGGCCCTTTGGGCCAAGTGAGCTAAAAATGAGTGATGAGACTAAACAAGCTAAAGAGGGAAGGTTCATTTTACATTCACTGATATATCAGTTAACTAACTAACCCCCCCCCTTAAGCCATGCATGTATGGCTTACCCTCCTAACTTGGTTTAGTTTTCATCACATATTTCTTATCAATTGTACAGATTTCAAAAATTATTTCAGATTCAAACAATTCCTGTTATCAACCTTTTTAATCAATTAAAAAGAAATTTCCATCATGTTTCAAAAAAAAACTTCTTTGTCATATTATAATCAAAGACACTTACTCTGGATAAAATAAAGAACAGTCATGGGAATTAAACTGGTTAAAAGTGCCTTGAATAACAAAAGAAATCTTCGGTAACTGGTCGTTAAGACACGATCATAAAGAACATTAACAAGCTAATTATAATTCATAAGACTTTCACCCCTGTTTGCCCTTCGAAAAAATGACCTGCTTTGATTATTTTTTTTCTATCATAAATCAAGATTTTCAAAAATTTATTATGTCCATGTCTTGAAAATGAGAAGTCTTAAGGCTTTTTTCCGTCATATTTCATACCTTTCTACATTTCAAAATCTCCACAGGGAATTTTTAATATTAATCGACCTAATGCATCTCTATTACATGTAATGTCAGGACTGTTCTTTTGGTCATTTTTCCTTTTTTGCCATGAAATTATCAATTTGTTGTCATCAATATAGCTAATCAACCCTTTGCTATCTCTGCCTCTCTTTCATAAGAGTTTTCAATCTGATATTCTATGGTTTTGTATGCCTTTTATATGTATTTAGTTTCTATAATTGAGCACTCAAGGGTCATGACAAAAACGGAGAAAGTTAGTAGGTCTAATCTTTCAATTAATATAATTTCATCATTAACAGAGTAACCACTTGACCAAACTCCCAAAAATGTGATCCCCACCAGTGACAGTGATTCAAAGGCTAAATTTGATGCATACAATCATTTTGTGTCATAATTAAATCGCTCATAAACATCCCACGACATGGAAAGCAAAATGAAAGAATTACCGACACCCTACTAAAAATAGAACTTGAAAAATGTGTATACGCCAAAATTGACAGAGAAGTAAAATCTTTCATAAATAGAATGTAAACAAAATAATATCCTCATCTGCCTACATAAAAACTTCAATTGGCCATAAAACAGATCTGTAAAAATGCTGAATCAAAATATGACTGATTGATTGATGGTTGCTTAACTTCCAAAAACAAAAGTGAAAATATGTGTAAATGACTTCCTGTTAGTGTTACTAAGCAACAGGATTTGTTTGTTTTATTAGTATATGTAGTGCCCCTTGAAAATCTAGTACAAAGGAGTACACAAAAACATACCTCTGGGTATTGAAAGAAGTTCAACGACTATTGAAAAATAAGCCAAACATTACATACATCAAAATGAAAAGATATTGGATAAGTGTTCATAAAAAATAAAGTCTAAAATACATGTACCATTAATGTGAATAAAATAGTTAAGCATGCATCCTTTCATGCCAGAATTTGAAAACAATAAATATGATCATATTTAGTATAAGGTAAAAACACAACTGTCACATTTTATCCCATTAATAAAAACTTCAATGGAGAACCACCTGAATGGACATTAATTCTTTCCTTATGTTTTTTTTTCAAGTATTATTTTCTTATGATCAACATGTGGTTAATTTGATCTCATTTTTTCATTTGTAAAAAAAAAAATTCATGACGTCAAATTTTCTTGCTTTCCATTTTTGGGGTACCTGTAACAAAAACTAGAGGCTCTAAAGAGCCTGTGTCGCTCACCTTGGTCTATGTGCATATTAAACAATGGACACAGATGGATTCATGACAAAATTGTGTTTTGGTGATGATGATGTGTTTGTAGATCTTACTTTACTGAACATTCTTGCTCCTTACTATTATCTCTATCTATAATGAACTTGGCCCAGTAGTTACAGTGGAAAATATTTTGTAAAAATTTACAAAAATTTACAAAATTTATGAAAATTGTAAAAAATTGACTATAAAGGGCAATAACTCCTTAAGGGGTCAATTGACAATTTTGGTCATGTTGACTTATTTGTAGATCTAACTTTGCTGTACATTATTGCTGTTTACAGTTTATCTCTATCTATAATAATATTCAAGATAATAACCAAAAGCTGCAAAATTTTCTTAAAATTACCAATTCAGGGGCAGCAACCCAACAACATGTTGCCTGATTGGTCTGAAAATTTCAGGGCAGATAGATCTTGACCTAATGAACATTTTTATACCATCAGATTTGCTCTAAATGCTTTGGTTTCAGAGATATGAGCCAAAAACTGCATTTTACCCTATGTATTATTTTTTTGCCATGTCGGCCATCTTGGTTTGCGGGCAGGGTCATCGGACACATTTTTTAAACTAGATACCCTAATGATGATTGTGGACAATTTTGGATAAATTTGTCTTACTAGTTTCAGAGGAGAAGATTTTTGTAAAAGATTACAAAAATTTACGAAAAATGGTTAAAAATTGACTATAAAGGGCAATAACTCCTTAAGGGGTCAACTGACCATTTTGGTCAAGTTGACTTATTTGTAGATCATACTTTGCTGAACATTATTGCTGTTTACAGTTTATCTCTATCTATAATAATATTCAAGATAATAACCAAAAACGGCAAAATTTCCTTAAAATTACCAATTCAGGGGCAGCAACCCAACAACGGGTAGTCCGATTCATCTGAAAATTTCAGGGCAGATAGATCTTGACCTGATAAACAATTTTACCCCATATCAGATTTGCTCTAAATGCTATGGTTTCAGAGATATAAGCCAAAATCTACATTTTACCCCTATGTTCTATTTTTAGCCATGGCGGCCATCTTGGTTGGTTGGCGGGGTCATCGGACACATTTTTTTAACTAGATACCCCAATGATGATTGTGGCCAAGTTTGGTCAAATTTGGCCCAGTAGTTTCAGAGGAGAAGATTTTTGTAAAAGTTTACGTACGACGGACGACGGACAACGGACGCAGGACGACAGACGACGGACGCAAAGTGATGAGAAAAGCTCACTTGACCTTTCAGGTCAGGTGAGCTAAAAAAGGCTACCCTGCATAATGATGTAACAAAGAAAGAACAGAATTTTTTGCAGATCAGAATCCTTCATATGGTTAACAAGAATGTGTCCATAGTACACGGATGCACCACTCGCACTATCATTTTCTATGTTCAGTGGATCGTAAAATTGGGGTCAAAACTCTTAATTTGGCATTAAAATTAGAAAGATCATATCATAGGGAACATGTGTATCAAGTTTCAAGTTGATTGGACTTCAATGGGGGTCTCATTGGGGGGTTCTGATCCCAGATCCCGCTTACTGTTTTGTCAGATTCCCGTATCCAGCTTACACTATGTATGTAAGCAATTCTCATTTTTTTGTAATTTCCCGTGTCCCGCTAGACTCCAATTCCCGTTTTCACGGCACAATAATTTTACTTTCACGTGTCACGCTTACAAAAATTAGGCAATCCCGCGTCACGCTTAGACCTCAATGAGACCCACTTCAACTTCATCAAAAACTACCTTGACCAAAAACTTTAACCTGAAGAGGGACAGACGGATGGATGGACAAACAAACAGACACACAGACCAGTAAACATAATGCCCTTACTACTACCGTAGGTGGGGCATAAAAAATCATTAGATAAACAGATTACTCCTCACTCTAGACAGTCCTTGGATTTTAAATTTGAAAATTCTATTTCTCGAAAACTATTTCACACTCTATGCAGTGGTAGATTATTCACATTTTTCATTAGGGTCTAGATAGGGGGTTCATCATTTCTGTATTCTTTAATTTTTTGGCCATTTTTCTCTATTCTTTTTGACAATTATTCTCTATTCACTATTCTAGCACCCCATTTATCTCTATTCTTTATTTATTAGGCCCTTAACTCCATATTTATTTTCATTATTCTCTATTCTGTAAGCCCCGTCCAGATCCTCATCACATTTGTCAAACAAACTTCTCAGAAAGATAATCAATTCTCACAAGCAAAATCAGCAATATTGTCAACCTCATTAAAATACTGATCCTGTGTCCAAGCTTTGCTTACCAGGATCTACAACCGCTCAATTCTACTTTGTGTTTCAAAGAACTTTTGGGATCCTCTGGTTTTGTCGGATTAATACACACCTTCAAAAACTTGAAGGCTGAAATTTCATTGGCTGATGTAATAATTACCAAAACAGAAAGTAAAACTTTGTGTTGTTAGATTCTTGTAAGCAAAGCTTGAACACAAGATTTGTATTTTAATTAGATTGCAATATTGTAAGCATCAAACAAAAATTAAAAATTACAAAGTATAAAAATATGAATTTCAGAAAAATAAACCACAAAAAATGACTTACTTCTGCATCCAGCTAATTTTAACGAAGCAGGAAAAAATATTGAATGAATGGTATTAATGAAATTAAATCTAATTAGCAACAAGGCATACAACATACATTCAATGTAGCAATGATAATATCAAAATAACATGGCCTAAACAATGCAATAATTCAGATAACAGAAATCATACAATAACAATTTAACACTGTCAAAGAGATACAATTTTTCCTATTTTACATTTTATTTGACTAATACTTTTTCTAAAATGTTTATTAACTTCTCTCTATTTTGTGACTAAGTCTCCACAGTTTTTTTATTCAAATTTTTAATATCCAATTTTCTCCTTCCAATGGTAACCATATAACAACATGAACAATTAATAATTACCTTAGCTCCTCCTGCTCCTCCACCTCCAGCTCCGCCTCCTAAAGCTTGGGCGACAGGCAGATTGGTTGCAGTAGGTGGTGAAATTGACATTGAGGGTGCTCCGCCTCCACCACCGCCTCCTCCTGCTCCCATTGGAATCACTCCTGGTTTCAAACCCCAGAAAGCCCACATCAGACTGGCCAAAAATGCCATTGTTCCAAGAATTGCTCCCATTACAGCTCCAGCTCTAGCTCCGCCAGCAGCTCCACCTCCTGCAAGTGGTACGGGACCAGCACCACCTCCTGTCAGGGCACCAGTAATTGGCCCTCCACTTCCTGATGGACCGACACTTCCTGAACCACCTCCAACAGAAATAGATCCTGGATTACCAATACCTACATTAGTTCCTCCGCCTGGCCCACCACCAGAGGCTCCAGGGGCAACAACTCCTCCTCCTCCTAGATCTCCTGGAATTGGGTATGGTCCAGTTGAAGGAGGAAGTGGGACCCTCTGGGGAGCTGTGGGTCTCCTATCAATACAAAACATTATATTAGTCATGTATAGAAAAAGAACAATTTACTTCTTTACATTAAACTGTTGGTGGACTCAGTAATCAGTGCTTTGGTACTTAAATAATTTTTTACACATTTTTTTAAAAATTCCCCAAAGGTAAATTAAGAAACTATTAAGAAACTAAGATTCCAACTCTCTTAGTCAAAGTTGACTTTAAATGAGTTTTGCTATTTTTTTTAAGGTCCTTTTCAGTAAGAGCTCTGAACCTTTCCTTGTATCTATACATCACTGGCTTTCAAGTATAAAAATAAAGATGTGGTATGATTGCCAATGAGACAACTATCCACCAAAGTTCAAATGAAGTGGATGGTAAGCATATATACACACTGTACGGCCTTCAACAATGAGAAAAACCCCATACCGTATAGTCAGCTATAAAAGGCCGTGACATGAAAAATATGTAACAATTCAATTGAGAAAACTAATGGACTAATTTATAACAAAACAATTTATGAAAAATAAATATGACAGACTATATGGGTTTGAGCAATCCTAATGAAGATAAATCTAGGAAAACAGTTCAGACGCAACAAATTTATAAAATGTTATTTTCATTTAGTTCTTTACATTGGAAATTTTGATCCAAATAATCAGATGACCTGATTTAAAACTTTCACTGGTTACATCATAAAAAGGTCATTGATTGAGAGGCTGGTTGTTGACTGCCTCATGATGGTGTCTTATAAATATCTGTTTTACTCATTTTGATTTTGGTTACTGATTCATACATTTACTTTTAATTTTATTAAAAATTGCAGTGTAAACACCTTGCAATTCAACCAATCAAATGAAATTTCATGTTGGTTACTTAAATCATATCACTTTAAAAAAATTGCTTCCTAATAAAAAGATGTATTTGATTAGATAATATCAATAGATTTATATATTATATATTGTTATTATTTGTGTATATTATGTTGTAAATTGGAAGTTATAAATAATAAAAATAAAAAAAAAAAAAAAAAAATCATATCACTTTATGAGCACTGCCTCAGTTGTCTCATGGTAGCGTGTTCGCCTCAAGTGCGGGATGTCGTGGGTTTGAACCACATGTTGATTATAAGAAAATAGTCAAACGAGAGACTTTTAAATTGGTATTTGCTGCTTCTCCACTAAGGCATAAAGAGTAAAAGCAAAGGCTGGTCAGCTCGGAGTCAGAATAATGTGTCAGGGTAAGTTGACAATTTTGTCTTCCTGCGGACTGTTACCTTGTGAACTAGCATGTTAAAAATCCAGCTCAGCGTGTTGGTCTAGTACAAAGCAGGGTTAATATTCATATAAAGTTAACATGTTCTCGTCCTAAATATGAATATTATTTTGCTTCTGGACGTTAAGCAGCCATCCATCACTTTACGATACCCAAAGAAAAAATAACGAATCCACAGTACAAACAATGAATGGACATTTCATCCAGTACTTCTGTTAAATACTTACGGTATACTAACAAGAATGTATCCTGGTCTTCCATTAGTGATGACATAATAAGTACCCTTCCAGTTGGCACCTGTTGCTGATTCTCCAAGGTCTATAAACCTGTAGTTCTTGTAAAAAGCACCTGTGAAATGAAGAAAGGTTGAGACTTCATATCATATGAATCCTACTGCAAATTCTTAAATTCTGTTAATAAATTATTTCTCCCCAAACTTTATATTTGTGTTTTGTCTATTCTAGGGTCTTTAGGAAATCTCTTTATAGACACAGTTGTAGCTTTTACTGATTTTGTACTTGCCAAGCAACATGACATGTGGCACTAGTGGAGCAGAATCTATTTACCTTTCAGGAACACCCAAGATCATTTCCACTGTTTGTTAGTATTTGTGTTACATTATTGTTTTGTGTTTTGTAGTCTGCTGTTTGTATTGTCACCATTTTTTTTTTCTTTTTCTCATGTAGTCTGTTTTTCGTCCACTTTTGATTTTTGATTGCCCTCTTTGGAATCTTCTGTCTCTTTTTATGGAAATTTATTTTTTCAGTTTTAATGTAAGAGAAGATCATAGTTTGACATATTCATAATGATTTATATTTGCATTAATTTCCTACTTTCGGAGTTATCTTCCTTTATCTATAACTTTAATTTGTAGTTAAACATATTTTTAGAACATATAGATTCATACACCATGCACAATTCATGTTATTTTCTATAAAATAGTTTTCTTGTTAAGTATGGTTATCCATATACACATCATTTTGTAACTCTGATTATATATAATTATTTAATTTCTTGACATGGATAGGATCTAAAGAATGTTCACATGACTTAACTATGTTGTTCATGCACTCAAAGGTAGATATGAGGCCTGGAAAATTAAGGATGTTCGCTTGTCATGTTTTGGAATTTTTGTCAGATTTTCGGAATCCCATTGAACACCATTTTCCTTTTTATAAATCTTTTACATGTATAATTATAAGCCACCTCTAAAATTCTTATAAAATTTTAATTATTTTTAATAGTTTATGAGATCTTAAACTTGTCAATGATAAAGCTATGAAAAGTCAAGAGAGAACATTTTCCCGCCAACATTTCAATGGCTAATATCTCAAAAACAAGCACATTGACCTATATATTTTTTTGGCTCTTTTGGTTTCTTTATTAATCCCCTATCAATATATACTACTGTTATGAAAAGCTTGTTATTTTGAAAATGAGTAGGGAACTTCCTTAAGATATCAAGCCTGTTACAATAGGGTTTTGGATTACATTCTCCTCAATTTTTACCCCAGAAAACAAAACCCTGTCATACCTCCTATGATACCAGTAAATGGGTTCATCACATTACCACCAGCATCCAGTCTGCCTCCAATATAAACATACTTCACTTCATCAAAGACAGAGTGACTTACTGAAAATACAAATACATCACTACAATACATTGAACGATTCATGCTAAATACAAATACATTTACTGTATCATTTAAATGACCTTTGAAGTGACCCACTGAAATATAAATATGGTTAAAGCTAAAAAAAAACCCTATATAGTATGTAAGACCCTCCCTCATCTACTCAAAATTAGCCTCATGGTCTATTCTCATTTAGAAACAAGTAAAACTGTGAGCTACTGCTCACTGATGATACCCCGCCAAAATATTTCGGTAAACAGGAAGTTGTTGAGTGATGAATCTGAAAACACATCACATGTTAAAGCTGACTTATATAAACCCGGAAACCAAATTTCAGAAATCCTTGTCAAGTAGTTCCTCAGAAAAATGTGACGAAAATTTTCAACTTGGCTATCATGTGTAAAATAATACAAGTGTTAGGTAAACAGGAAGTTGTTGAGTAATGAATCTGAAAACGCATCACACAGTGTAACTTACTTATATAAACCCTGAAACCAAATTTCAGAAATCCTTGTCAAGTAGTTCCTGAGAAAAATGCGACGAAAATATTCATGGGACGGACGGATGGACTGACGGAAGGGCAGACAGAGGTAAAACAGTATACCCCCACTTTTTTAAAGCGAGGGTATAAAATCAGGAAAGTTCAATAATTTAATGTGGGAAATTTACCCTGTTTATTCTCTGACAGTGAAATGTGAAAAAATTGCTTTCAATTAAAGTTCTTTAAATTCACCATTTCAGAATTACAGAATAAGACAATAAATTATTTTGACTTAATTTTTTTAGGTGTTTGGTTTTGTTGTTTTGTAACCATATGAAACATCTGATAAAATGTACCCTCACCAATTATACTTATATTTTTACAGTATATTTGTTCAGTCTCATAAAAACCTAAAAAAATATATTGCATTTCATGCTGAATACATTTAAATACCGTATGAAATACTTGTACTTGATAACATATCACTTTTTAAAATTTTTTTAAACAACTCTTCCCTCATTCTACATTTATTCATATTCATGAAAATATTTGGAGCAATCATGCATTACATTTGAAAAACTTTTAACTGCCTACATACAGTTAAATAAATAAATAGAGATGCAAAGTATATCATAAAATATCAGCCTTTGAAGTTTACAATTAAAAAAAGTCATGCCTGATACATAATAGATGAAAAAACACATAGCTTTAATCTTTGTAGTCATCAGTTATCTCCCCTTATAATACATTCAGTAATGTTGAAGCATGTTGAATCAGTGTTGATTAACAGTAGTATAGTTCAAGATATGATATTGTAAATAAATAGAATTGACAAATCTGATAAAATATACCACAAACGCCCACTTACCAATAATCCAAGCTAGAAATTGACAACATGTAGACATAAACAAAAATCACATAGGTTGAAATAGTCTGAATAAATATATAAGGTTGAAATAGTCTGAATAAATAAGGTTGAAATACTCTGAATAAATATGATTGAAATAGTCTGAATAATGCCTATTTAAAGAAAAAAATGTCAGTTTAAAGAATTAAAGGGTTAAGTATTCACTGCTGTTCAATTTATGATACAAAGAGGGTCACTTGAAGTCAAACAATATTTCAAAATGTTTTTACATCTGAAAGACATCAGTTTTTAGATGTGTTCATATTGTTATTGAAAATACATATGCTACGGCTATTTGTGTCTCAAGCAGGAGGTTGGACAAGACAGAAATATCCACATATATATGTACACACTGTTCCCTGAGATAATCAAAAAAGTTTTTAATACATTTAACATTAATGGGTAAGAAAAAAAATCAAACACCAGCAAGAATAAAAGACAAAGACTTGAAGTCCTTTTGTTGGCCTTGGGCTGTTTTCTGCTCTTTGGTTGGGTTCTTGTCTCTTTGACACATTCCCCATTTTCAATTCTATTATGATAAAATCATACATTCCGGTATCCAAGTCTTGCATTCCTTTTGGTGCTTGATTCTTTATCTCTTTCATTGAATTCAGACTATTTATAATTTTGCAATACCATTCACCCTTCCTGATTAAATGCTCAATCTCATTTAGAAAGTAACTAAAAGATTGATCTAAAACATTAAGCCTGTAAACCTCCATATGTTTCCAGCCCATGTGTTCATTTGCACTGCTCTTCAAGAAAAAAAACCAATTTGATTTGGTGTATGAACAGCATGTTATGTGGATTTAATTATTTTTCCCAGAGTACCAATTTTGGTAAATAGTCAGAGTTCTCAAAATGTTGTGGTGAAGGTTTGGACCACCAACATTTTTAAAGGACTGACAAAATTTTGGTATTTTGCAATAGAAATAATAGTGAGGAACAGTAGATTTTTCTTCAAGGACAAATTTTGTGGATACTTGATTTCCAAAAATGCAATTCAAGACTTATGAACTGTGCCCTACACAAATCAAATTGTTTATCCATTGACCTTTAGTTAATGTGTATAACGTTACCTCCTGATTTGTGAACTATCCAATTGAATTGAAAAACAATACAGAATATTTAATATTTAAGGAATGATTGTAATATTTTTTCTGTCTATGAAGAAATAACATCAAAAATGTGGTGCACACTGAATAACCCGCGTAGCGGGTTATTTTAAAGTGTGCACCACATTTTTTATGTTATTTCGAATAGACAGAAAAAATATTACAGTCATTTCTTATAATTTAATTCTTAATTCCATTTAAACCGGAGTAAATCATGAAAAAACGTTAATGACGTCAAGGTCACATGACAGAATTATGTCTATGAGCTGATACACAAAACAACGTCAGCCAATCAGAAGACATGTTACATCCAAAATTAAATTATTAATGAATGTACATTACAAAAAAAAATCCTAAGTTCTGATAGAAATCGTTTTATTTTGTTCATTTTCACTTGTCCATGGCAGGTGTGGACACAGAGTGGTCAAAACTTCTAGAAAGTTCCCTATACCTATCCTATAGTTTGGATATACCATTTATTTTCTTACATCACAATAATTGAACCTGCTTTATGTTGGAAAATAAGTTAAGTTTTAGAATTCAATATTTTAAAGAAATCTGTGATTATATTAAAGTTCAGAAGTGGGCCAGTTGAAATGCCAAAATCCCTGTAAATTGTAGCGTATCATCTTTCAACACTGAGGGTGTCCATTAGATGTTGATTAGGTAAGAGTTTAACATACAGATATTTTGGAATCCTTTCTTTATATGTGTTATTAAGGATCCTAAATATTTTTATAATAATTATGTGTTATTAAGGACCAAAATGTTTTTATAAGAACTATAAGATAATTCTTTGGTAATCATTTTTACACATCCAATCTGTAATAATCTTTTGTTATTACATTAAATTTTGAATGAGATTTACACTCTCTTTTTCCTTAAGAAAAATAATAGCTCATACCTTGATGGGCAAGAGTTTTTTGCACATTATCAACAACTAAAAATCCACCATCGGCAGTACGTGTAAACTGTACCACATGATAATTCCCATCATTCAATCTTCGCTGATCAAAGGATATGGTCTGCTCGCCATTTCCTGTATTGTACTGGGCCACCAAGTATCCATTTTCCAGTCGAAGTTCAATGTATTCGTTGGCACCACCACTATCAATTCTCATAATAATTCCATCTTTCTCTTCAGTCATGAATCCAAATGCTAGTTTGTCCTCCCTGGAGTTTTGTGGATTAATAAGGTCAAATTTAATGACACCATACTGCTTTGAATCAATATATTTATTAAAATAAACACCAACTGGATCTGAAATTAAATATATTTCTTTAATCAGTACCGGTACGTAAAGATAAATTCTGATAAAACAATCTAAAGTTTAACCCATAAAATTTCAAGAGTACATGATAGTTTCAAATTAAGTATTTATAAAATAGTAATTTTAGTTTAAAAATAAGCAGTTTCTTTTTTATAACAAATTGAAAAGGGAAGTAACTCATGGTACTTTACTTACTATGGATTCATTTATTTTCGTGGGTACCAATTTTCGTGGATTAAGGAAAACTTACATGTTCGTGAATATTTAATTTCGTGGTTTTGCCAAAGTCTGCATACAAGCCTATAGAAAATTTGGTATTCGTTGAACATTAAATTTCCTGGTTCACCTGTACCCACAAAATCCATGAAAATTGGTATCCAACGAATAATAATGAATCCACAGTATCAAATTTTCTTGTTTTGTCAGAATACCTTGGTTTGAGCACATTTGTATTCCTGGTTTGTGGAAAAAAAGTTTTTCTTTTTTTTAAACTTAATTGTCCAGGCTACATTAATTTTGTAGCTTGATCTATGGTGTAGACATTTGATACTGTTGAAGACAGCATGCTGACCATTATATGGTGTAGACATTTGATACTGTTGAAGACAGCATGCTGACCATTATATGATGTAAACATTTGATACTGTTGAAGACAGTACGCTGACCATTATATGGTGAAGACATTTGATATTGTTGAAGACAGAATGCTGACCATTATATGGTGAAGACATTTGATACTGTTGAAGACAGCATGCTGACCATTATATGGTGTAGACATTTGATACTGTTGAAGACAGCATGCTGACCATTATATGGTGTAGACATTTGATACTGTTGAAGACAGCATGCTGACCATTATATGGTGTAGACATTTGATACTGCTGAAGACAGCATGCTGACCATTATATGGTGTAGACATTTGATACTGTTAAAGACAGCATGCTGACCATTATATGGTGTAGACATTTGATATTGTTGAAGACAGCATGCTGACCAGTATATGGTGTAGACATTTGGTATTGTTGTAGACAGCATGCTGACCATTATATGGTGTAGACATTTGGTATTGTTGTAGACAGCATGCTGACCATTATATGGTGTAGACATTTGGTATTGTTGTAGACATTTGGTATTGTTGTAGACAGCATGCTGACCATTATATGGTGTAGACATTTGATATTGTTGAAAACAGCATGCTGACCATTATACTGTTGTAGACAGCATGCTGACCATTATATGGTGTAGACATTTGATATTGTTGAAGACAGCGTGCTGACCATTATATGGTGTAGACATTTGATATTGTTGTAGACATTTGGTATTGTTGTAGACAGCATGCTGACCATTATATGGTGTAGACATTTGATATTGTTGAAAACAGCATGCTGACCATTATATGGTGTAGACATTTGATATTGTTGAAGACAGCATGCTGACCATTATATGGTGTAGACATTTGGTATTGTTGTAGACATTTGGTATTGTTGTAGACAGCATGCTGACCATTATATGGTGTAGACATTTGATATTGTTGAAAACAGCATGCTGACCATTATATGGTGTAGACATTTGATATTGTTGAAGACAGCATGCTGACCATTATATGGTGTAGATATTTGATATTGTTGAAGACAGCACGCTGACCATTATATGTTTGATGATCCTCTATACTGTGAACCAACTAATTTTCGTAATCCAAATATTTTCGAGAGTAGAAAAACATAATGTGAACTTAAACGGTTGTGAATGTAAATTATATCATGAAAATTAGAAGATAGCAGAACTATAACTCATGGTGAATTTTGTTAGAAAGAACTTTACACAAAATAAAGTATGCACAAAAATGTTTTGGTGTACAGTATGTCCTTTAACCCAAATAATTCAGGCCCTCCCCACAATCGATCTCTCCTGAAATCTTTACACAATTAAAACCAGTCACAAATCCTGGATTTTCATTGGCACCCTTGGGAGAGAGAGCCAATAAGCTGGCAGTTCACTTTTAAAGAGATATGTAAATCTGTAATGTTTGATTGAAGATTTTTCATACACTGGGCATTCTGATTTATTCAGGAATCAAATATATAATGACTGAATTATTAGGGTTAAATGTAATTTTCGGACCAAACAAATATTCAACCATAATTTATATTCCACTACTCTACAATGGCTTCAGTAATGCCTGCAGTCTATTCAATGAAAAATCACCATTTTATCATTCAGAATTGGTTTAGGATTTACATATCTCGATAATCATTGTTCTGTGAAAAACAAACACATTCTTGTTGATGTTATCTTCTCTTGAACCTCATTCATTGTTTAAGTTGTAATAACCTCTCCAAAGTTCTGAAAACTTAATTCTAAGACTAAAGTGCAAGTATTTACTAAAGTATGTCAAAACAAAGTGGGTGTGGCATGTACTATGTATGAGGGGGTGACACTTGGATGCTCATTTCACAAATTCTGCTTTTTTGTAATTTTTTTCTTCCTTTTTCCCTATCCCAATTTTTTGTACCTTTATCCCACACCCCTCTTTTTTTTACCCTCTATATCCCACATCCACATTTTTTTTTACCCCCATTATCCTACGTCCCCCTTTTTTTTTACCCCCTATATCCCACATCCCAAAATCATGCCATCCCCCTCATGTATGTTTCTGATTGATTGGTTACTTACAATCCTGACATGTAGGTCCGTAATACCCTGTTAGATCACACATACAACGTGACGAAGCGATACCAGGAATACATATTCCACCATTAGAACAATAATCAGCAGCGCAGGCTTTTATATCTGAAATTCATTAAATTGGACTGTATCATTGTTTAGGTACTGTGAACCAAGAAGTTATAGAGATGTTTTCATAATTGTGAAAATGTTGCAGAAATATTGTATTTATTTCAACTCACATTTTAAATTCCTAAGGAATTAGTAATTTAAGTTGTCTGTAATTTATCTATGAGGTTATCTGGCAACAACATATCAATTTTTAAGAAAGTTCAATGCACTTGATTTAGAAAAAGGAGTTTTTAAAGATAGTTTTGATATAGATTTTGATAGATTTTATGTACATTCTATATAAATGTTGATTTATTTTAAGGATTTACATTCCATTATATTTTAGTTTAACAGTTAGAGTTCAGCTTGTAAAAATCACATGCATAATCTGTTTAATAGCATATTTGCTGTTCCTTGACCTTAACAGTGAAAATTAATCACAGAAAATAATATCAAAACAACTTAAATGATAATAGGGGTGCAAATAGGGTAATTGTCAAAAAAATAAATATTATACCTCCTTTGCAGGTCACAGGTCCAAATGTAAGATTTCAAACTTTTTAAGGAAAAATAGGGAGTCCCCTTACTAGAACTTATGTGTTGGTAGGTATAGCATTTGCTTATCATTTCAACAGTAGTACACATACCTGTACAGGCAGACATAACAGCTGCCTTATCACTAGCAAAATTAAACAGGTTCGGTGAAAATCCATTTAGATCTACAGAGGCCAGACATCCCATAAATCCATGACGAGACACTATACTGGATGTTATTGCACTATCTTTAAAGTAGGTCGTCGGTAATCCACCGATATACATGTTACCAGTTAGCTGAAGATTTTGGTTCCCTGGAATCTGTATGTCCCTAGATGTTGCATCGACAGTTATTCTATAGTATTGCTGTCCACCTTGTATGAATTGTCTTACTTCAAACATGTGCCATTGGTTGTTGTTTACTCTATCAGGAGTTCTGATGACCACCGACTGTTTTGACAAACCGTTATTAAAGTGGAAGTTTAAAAACCCATCAACCAATTCAACAGCAACAAATCGACCTTGGGGTCCCTGGCTGTATAAAATGACACCAGAATCGTCTTTTGTTTTAAAATTAAACATCATCCTAAAGCTAAGACCCATATGCATTTGGTCAAGCACAGAGTGGACTTCACGGGTAGCAAATGTGATTGGACGATATATGAATTTATTCAATTGTCCTTCGTTTGTGATCCAAACAATTTTGAAGGCAGAATCTGGCAACCTGCCCTTGAGTTCACTGAACAAGTCTAGTCTATCCCAGTAAACATTCTGCATCAGGCCCAGATAATTTGGATGGTTTTCTACAGAAACTCCAGAGTCGCCAACTCCACCAAAGTAAATCTTGTCATATCGCAGATAGAAATTCTCACCCTGGATAGTTTCTACAAAAAAGAGTATAATGTTTAGTTGATTATGCTGATATATATATATCCTGTCCATTTTTTTTAATATGCTGATCAATACAATCACAACTAGTCTAGACTCAGTCTATACAGAGCAATACATAAGGTTGGGCTCTTGCCTTTTTATTGTAAGCAGTTCAGTTATCTCTAGATTTCCATTTTTTTGTATTTATTTGTGTTATTGGGTTACTGTATAATTTACATTATCCAAACCTCCACTTAATTATATGTGATATTCATTGAACAATAAATTGCCAGTCAACATTGTGTATACTCACTTATGATTGGTTGTTCTGAATCCACAAATAATTCAAGATGGCTGCCTCGTCGTTTGATAAACAAATTATGCCATCTATTGTCATCCAAGTTAGAGCCAACATAAAATACCTGAAAATGACAAAATTATTAAATGGCATATTCACAAAATAAACACAATAATGTTTGTTTAATACATAACCCACCACGCAATAGCTTTGGTGTATTCAGTTCAAAACCTTGGATGCCATCTGGGAACAGTATATCTAACGGGAAATGAATCTGATACGCTTTTCAGTATAAAATTGATAAAATCTCTGACTCCTCGAGACTTCCCGAGATTTATGGATTTGGTAGCGTCTGACTGAAAAACTATCAGAACTGCTCAACAAATAAACCACATAACTCTAATTGTAAATAAATACAAGTTTTATCATTTAGTAGATATATTTTGTCATATAAAATTACCAAAATAAGTTTGATTTATTTGATGTGAAGTGTTTTATGATAGTTTGGGAATTTGTAAATCATCGCGGCAATGGCCGCCATTTTTTTATTACCTGGTTTGCATTCTGCACAATTCTGTGATAAAATGCTTGCGATTTTAACAAATTTGAAGTGACAGAATACAAGTTTGATACACTAGCATCACTATAAAACTAGTTTGAATGACATTTTATTGATAATATCAGAAATTGTTAGGATAATAGCGAGTCCGTTTTTAACACATATCCGTTTCTGTATCGTATCTTTATTAACTATGGCACGACGATAAAATCGACTACAATCAGGTAGTGTCAAGTCCCGTCAATATATATGTTCCTGATGCCATTTTCTATAATATCATGCCACCGTTACACAAAATTTCACTTTTCGCACTTATTAATGTCTTATATTTTACAATTTCAAATTCATCTCTTTAGTAGCAAATTACCCTAATACTTTAATATTCATGAGATGAATGTTAAGAGATAGTTATTTCCCCTGGTCATGGTTAAACTGTCAGAGATGATTTTCACTTTTTCCCCAACACTGAATGTCTTACATTTTATAATTTCAAATTCATATTAGAAATTTGTCTCTTTAGTAGCAAATTACTGTATACTTAAATATTCATGATAAATGTTACAAGATAGTTATTTCCCTTGGTCATGGTTAAACTGTCAGAGACTGTTTTCATTTTCTAATTTCAAATAAATACTAGAAATTTATCTCTTCAGTGGCAAATTACCGTAATATTTGAATATTCATGAAATGAATGTTTAGATAAGTTATTTCCCCTGGTCATGGTTAAACTGTCAGAGACGGGTATACTCACACTTATGTAATACATGTAATTAAGAGGTTCTGCCCTCTTTATTATCCTCTGAATGCATTAATAAGAAATATAAAATATTTTATAATACAGATAATACGATATGATTCTGTAAATGTCATTATCAAAGTACAATTGAAAAATAATTTCACATACCCGTATCTAAGAATATTATTATTCTCAGCTTGTAAAAAAAAAACTGAACTTTTACAAATAAAAAAAATCTCTAAAATAATAAAATTATATCAAAGTATAACTCTAAAAAAGAATTATTCAGTATTAAAAATAGATATCAGAAAAAGAAAATTAGAGATTTAGCAATTGAAGTTATTGTTACATATATATGATAAAATCTGAAATGCAAAAAGCATAAACTTTTTCAGTCTATATTTGAAAATTTCTATAATTGATGGATTGAACATACCACCATCATGCACATATATGATATCATAGGGTTTTTGTAATTTTTTTGTAATTTTTTTCAATTTACATGCGATGATCATCAGAAACCTTGTTCCCCTTGTAGCAAAAGGTATTTGTTCAAACATTCGCCAGACTTGAAATGTAAATATTTTTTACCTGGATTAATTTTTTCTTACCTTTATTGGCAGCTGTACAACAAAGAAAAAATAAAAGCTGCAGGTGAAAAAAAGGCTTTGTGTAGCCAAGCTTTATAGATATTAAATATCCTTTCCTTTTTTTGGTTTTATGTTTTAAAATTATATCTTTAATGCTTTATTTATTGTTTTACAGATTTTCTTTGAATTCATCAAATATCTTTATGTAGCACTGTTTATCACATTCTTTTTCAAATTCATTTTCTTTTTTGATGTCTCAGAAAAAAAACCAAACCAAAACACACATTTACATAAATATACATAAAAAGAAAAGACTCAGGTCAGGGATTTCTCATTTGAATTGTTTCAGATTTTGTTATTATACAGTGCAGGTTTGCTAATTGTAGAAGGCTGTACAGTGTTAATTTACATTCATTGAGTACTTGTAAAATAAATAGATTAAGGACTCTGTCTGATTTGATCTAGAAAACTAGAATCCTTGAAAAAAAAAAAAATTCAAAAAAAAATTCCACAATCCTTGACAAAGACCTTTTCAAAGCTTGGGTTGCCATTTTCTGTCTCAATACTTTTCTGTTTTGTGAATTTTTTTCTGTTTTACCTTTTATAGTTATGGTTGTACCTCAAGTTATTTCTTTAGTTATTGTATTTTTTAAAAAAATTGTGAAAAAAAATCCTCTAATTGTATAAACTTTTGGATAAACTTACCATCTAAATTGTAAACTACATGTATATATATTTGTACATCAATACTGGAAAATACTTTTGGTTAACTAATTGACACTTTACCATCTAAATTGTAAACTACATGTATATATTTGTACATTAGTACTGGAAAAAACTTTTGGTTAACTAATTAACACTTTACCATCTAAATTGTAAACTATATGTATATATTTGTACATTAGTACTTTAAAATACTTTTTGGTTAAACTAATTGACACTAATATACCTATTTCTAAAAAAAACATTCTATCAGAATCATTACCTGAGGAGATTGACCTTCAACTTTGATGGTGACCTTGACCCTTCCATTATCAAGTTCAGCACGAAGGTAATCATCACTGATACTGGATATAGTTTGGAAGAGGAATGCGTTTCGTAAGAAAGATTTAAATCGTAGTGATATATCATTAGTATGAGATTCTTGTCGTGTGCTGTAAAAATATGTAAGGTAGTCATTTCCTTGGAAACCACCAATCATTGCAACTAAAAAGGAAAAAAAACACAGATGCATTAACTTGAAAACAAAACATTTAGCTACAATGCAATGAAAAATTGATTTCATATCTATATGTGATACCGTATTTGTCTTTTTTAGCATGTCCTTTTTTACTGATTAGGTATTGTCTATCTATTTGTGTGTCTCAAATTTTGGAGTATTCAAAAAATATCAACAAATAAAAAAAAAATGTCTTTTGGTATGAATTTTTCCAATTCTATCTTTAATTTCTTGACAATACAAAACAGATAAGGGTACCTTATTACAAAATAACAAAGTTAATTCCTGCATTAAAACAGCTGTCTGTTAGATAAGAGATATTATTCACTAAGTTGTCTATTAAACAATAAAGGTGCCAAGTGACCTTGTCTTGGGTCATTATTTTTTTTTTTTAATCACTGATGTTAACCTAAACAGATTTCCTAGTTCGGAGTTCGAACTCAGAACCTCAGTGTCGACAGGCTGGTAATTACTGTAGATCACTTGGCCACTGAGGCCCAATATTGTCATGTGACAACTTACACTAACATTATCATGTGACTTAATCATGTGACAACTTACACTTACATTATCATGTGACATAATCATGTGACAACTTACATTCATTACATCTTGTACCAGCCCATCCAGTGCCTGCACAATCGCAGTAATATTGTCTGACTCCATTATAGCATATTCCATTATTACATGGGTTTGTAGACACACACTGTTTGTTCATATCCATACAACCAAGACTTAAGTAATCTCCGACGGGTATATCTCTAATAGGTCCATTCATATTTGTGTCTGTAAAAGTAAAATAGAAATTCATGATAACTCAAGTTAATTGCTATAAATTCAGAAATTTTTGTGATGTTTTAATTATTGCATAAATTATGACAAAATTGCCTTCCAAAAAATTGTCGGAGGATTCTGAGTATCCTGAGAGAATCATTGACCTTTCTGAAGGAAAACTTGAAATGCAATTTTTAAGTACAATTTTTAAGTAAAAAAAAGATAGGAGTCAAACAGATTTTGCCATGAGTGGGGTTCGCGCTCACAACCTCAAGTGTTGACAGGTTAGTGATCACTGTAGACTATTTGACCACTTTTGATCATGATATTGTGTCTTCCTTTCTGAATATCATTTTTATTGCCCCCTTGATGTTTTTTTTCATGTTTTCCCCAATTGTCTGATGAATGTTGACATCTCAGTAAATGATTCAAAGCTTATGAAATAAAAATTCAGTCACAATTTTGCTTTTATAAATTACCAGACCAATTAATATAAAAATTAGGAGATGCGGTATGATTGCTTATGAGACAACAGAGTTCTCGAAAAATGGTGGTCTGAAGGTTTTGACCACCAAAATTTTGCAAAGGACCGACACAATTTTAGTATTTTGCAATAGAAATAATATTGAGGACCTGCAGATTTTCTTCAAGGACCACCAGGGGAAAAAAGATTTCGAGAACTCCGAGAATTTTTTCCACCATAGTTCAAATAACAAAGATATAAGTAATTATAGGTCATTGTATCAACAATGAGAACAACTTATACAGTATAGTCAGCTATAAAATCCTACTCACTTGTGTTTATAAGCTGTAAATCACTGAAACAGCCAAGGAATTTACTGTTAGATGAACCCCAGACATACCAAGACTTGAAATCTTCTGGAAAACCACCTATATAAATACCATCATTGAAATATGCTTGTGTCACCTCTTCTGTAGTCAGGTCCAAAGTTCTCTGAATTCCGTTGAGTGAAATGAATATTTTTCGGTCCTGAATTTCCAGTTTTATGTTCTGCCATGTTCCATCATTGACAATAACGTCAGAAACCAATAGTCGTCTAGTTCTTGCACCGAAGTCAGAAATGAAGTATAATTTACCGTCATATATCTCAAAGGCTAAAAATAACTGATTAGAAGAATTTTTACGACGAGCTAAAAATAAGACACCTCTTGACTCAAGTGTTCTAAATCTGAATACAATTGTTCCGCCAGATCTTAAATCCACATATGAATTTTGATTGAGATGTAAATTAAAAGATTTGATGAAGGATATGGTACTGAGAATAGTAACAGTTGTCTGCCTTGGTGTTTCTGGTCTGGTTGGTCTTGGTGTAGGTCTTGGTGTATAAGGCCAACGTGTAGGCCTTGGCGTAGGTCTTGGTGTTACTAGCGGTGTTATCGCCTGTCCTGGTACTATGATATCAATACCACTATTAGCTCCAGACCCATGATGCATTTGGGTAATATACTGCATTAAACTTACACGGAGTAGTAAATTTGGTAAATTCTTCACATATAATATCTGAAAAGTATCAATTGGAAGTCATGGCAGAACTCAATTTATCTATATTTCTAACATAAAATATATGAAATAAAGGAGGAAAAATCTAGAGGCTAAATAAAAATATTCATATTCATATTTCACCAAAAATCCAACAAAAATGTTGACCCTTTTATAATTTTACCAAAAATTAAAAAAAATATTCAAATTGTTATTTTAACAGAAAAAACAACTGTAATTTGAAGTACATTTCCCCAATGATTTTCTGCTGTATTCATGGTCTCCAAAGGAAAGAACCTCTAAAAAGCAAAATGGAAACTTCCGAAAGTTTCAAGACCTTTTACCATAGAATTATGACTAATGTATGCACCCTCTTCTTCCCTCATACTCATCAAAAAAGAGAATAGCTCTTCTATATAGATCATTTTTTAGACAACATTCATGAAATGTCTTGTTGAAAGAATGATACCATTAGGATAAATACCCAGGTAAACACCTTACTATGAAGTGAATAATATATGCATGAGGTTTGTTTTTTCTTATTTCACAATAAACGTTAAAAGTAAAAATGTTCCCTCAATTTAATTTTATCTTCATGGAACGTCAATGATCGAAGAAAAGAAAAAAGCGAACCAATTTTCATTTGAAATTGCCAAATTTATAAAGTAAAAATAACTCCCTTTGCTGTACTTGGTATGATGGGTGGGTGCTTAAGGCGGTACCAAACACCTTGACTAAAATTAATTTGGCTTGTTCAATTTATATAAAATTTTGACAAAATATATACTTTGACCCTTTGACAAAAATATAAAAATTCCAAAAAACTTGAACAATGCACTTTATCGGAAAAATTTAATTGGATATATAGCAGTTTGACAAACACTAATTTTGATCATTGAGAAGCTTAATATTTCTTTAACAAAAGAATGTGATTAACACGTTCAGCTGATTTTTACAGAATTACCTCCCTGTAGTGTTATGTACCACCTTAACTTCAAGTGTCAAATGCTTATTCAGGAGGAGAACATGTTAATGTTATATGAATATTTACCCTGCTTTGTACTAGACGGACATGATAAGTTTGATTTTTATCGTGCTAGTTAACAAGGTAACGGTCCAAAGGAAGACATGTAACCAGCCTACTCCGACACATCATTCTGACCACGAGCCATCCTGTCCTTGCTCTTACTCCTTTATGCTGCGTACTTAATAGCGGAGAAGCAGCAAATACAAATTATAAAGTCATTGGTTTGACCTATCACCTCCTGAGGCGGTCTTACAGTATTTGGCCATTGCTAATACATGTAGTAATTTTGTTAAGACTTACCTTAGTTATTCCACCACTATATCCTTGAGTAATTACGGCATCAGTATAATCTATTGGTGTACCTCCGAGGTAGACATCTCCTCGACCAATCAGCTGGATTTCTCTAACGGTAGTTATAGTTCCGATATATTCTTCGTCAATGAAGAATTTCAGCTGAATAATAAAAAAATATAAATAAATTTTGTGCATCTGAATAAAAACATAAGAAAAAAGACAATATAAAAAAGAAGATGTGGTATGATTGCCAATGAGACAACTCTCCACAAGAGACCAAATGTCTATTATCTTGAAAAAAGTATAGCAACTGTAAACAGCAAAAACAATCAGCCATACAAGATCTACAAAAATGCCAATGCATGATAAGAACCAATTATACTTATAAATAACATAAATCAATTAAGAGGTTTACTTTAAAAATTGGTTGAAATGGAGGAAAGCTGTGAAAATTTGACTGCCAGAAAGAAATGAAAGCCAAAAATACCAAAATTTTGATACAGCATATGGAATATTAAACACCACTACAGATAGTGTTAAATAAATAATTAAGTCAAACATGTCTAACAGACAAAATTAGCCCCTCTCCCCTTTCCCCTGTTAGAACTGAAAATAATTCAGTATTTTTTTAACACAAGTATTTTTTCATCCTCACAAGTAACAATGAAATATTTGACTCAATACCCCTCCCCCCAAAAAAATTATATTTAATAAAAAAAAAAAAAAGAAAAAAAAAGGTCAATGTCAATATAATGCCAATTTAAATAGTACTGCAAAATTCAGAAATTATTGCATGCATTTATTACTGCAATTTTTGAAGAATGGACAAAAATTCGAGTTTAATTTTGTGATATCAGGAAAATCTGCATACAGATAAATGTATCAGACATAAGAATGTGAGTTCTTATTATTGCAATACTCATACAGATAAATTTATCAGACATAAGAATGTGAGTTCTTATTATTGCAATACTCACACAGATAAATTTATCAGACATAAGAATGTGAGTTCTTATTATTGCAATACTCACACAGATAAATGTATCAGACATAAGAATGTGAGTTCTTATTATTGCAATACTCATACAGATAAATGTATCAGACATAAGAATGTGAGTTCTTATTATTGCAATACTCACACAGATAAATGTATCAGACATAAGAATGTGAGTTCTTATTATTGCAATACTCACACAGATAAATGTATCAGACATAAGAATGTGAGTTCTTATTATTACAATACTCACACAGATAAATGTATCAGACATAAGAATGTGAGTTCTTATTATTGCAATACTCAAACAGATAAATGTATCAGACATAAGAATGTGAGTTCTTATTATTGCAATACTCACACAGATAAATGTATCAGACATAAGAATGTGAGTTCTTATTATTGCAATACTCACACAGTTGCATTATTCACATTAATAAAAACATCGCAAAAATTTCTGAATTTACATTATATAAATGGTTCTAATTGTTACCTCTCTTCCAACCCTATCCACTCTAAATGTATGCCAGTCCCAGTCATTCAGTTCTTTGATTTTTCTGGAGGTTAGTTTGATTTCCTGGACACGTCCATTTCCTTCATCAATATGGAACAGGAGGTAACCATCCTATGGATAAAAGTACATGTGACCTTTGACATAATTATTAAATCTAACTTATGACAACATATTACAATACAACTACCATAACCATTGAGAACTTATAACTATAAGTAAGAAATATTTAGATACATTTGATCAGAAATACATCAAATTCTTATATTGTACAAAAAAGGGGTTACAAAATGGGGATATACGTAATTGTGAATCCCTCCTCCACTTCTCTATAACTCCCTCGTCTCTCCCTATCTTAAATCATCTAGACTCCAAATTTATTTTGCCCAATTCCTGCCCTCCCCCAAAACAAACTGCCAGTTCCAAATTCTTTTCAGGAAACTACCAAATAATTAAGAATTTAGCACTGTATTATTCTTTTTTTCTTCTTTAATTAAACCAATTAATTGTATCTTTAGTGTTAGGCTTGAGATAAAAATTGATATTCAGCAAATCCATTAAATTTGCATAAATACAGAGGAATGTGTAATAGAAAGTGATTTAGAATAAACAAAAATATTTAGGCTTGGATAGTACATGTTTGCCCATTGTATTAAACATGATGAATTTTAACTTTCTCAGCATGAAAAAATTACATTTGAACTGGCAAATAGCTTACATCAAAATAACCCTTTAACACTTTCTAATTTTCCCGTAGGTGCAAGTATTGTAAAAGTAACAAATAGCAAAAACATATATAATTATTAATATACAATACAAACACAAAAGCATAAACTTTTGTTAAGTAAATTCTACTGTCAGTAAAATAAAAATAATAAAATTAGAATAATACCTAAGGCTACTTTATGTATACAAATGACAAAGTTATATACAAATGTTCCTACAATAACTAAGAATTGTAATAAATCAAAGACATGCTTTTATAGCAAGAACTTATTTTCTAATTCTAATAAAAGCTACATTTATATTTCAAATGTTACATTTTGCAATTCAATATTATCAAATTTTTCTGAAACTTAAATTTACTTTTCATGCAGAATATTTATTTCGCCATATAACAAAGCAGTTTTGAAATATGATTACTACATACCAATTAATGAATGTTAATGATGAAGATGGGCCACTTTGCAAATGGTTTTTATTTTTCCATGGGATGCATGGGTCCATTTGGGCAGCAAAAGACTGCAATTTACATGAATTTAATAAAATAATTAATAACTGATTGAAACTAGCTTTTATTATGTTATAAAGTCAAGATTAACATCCCTGCTTACATCTATATTCCAGTCATAAATGAGAATCCTCATTATATGATTACTTGGCCGTTTTTAAAGTGATTATTTGATTACCAGACCAAATATTTCATGATTATTTGATAATCTAGGACTGTATTTTTGATTATTTGATTATCTTGTTTAAAAAAATAATTAATGATTATGTGATTATATTGGCAAAAAGTTTGTGACTGTGATTAGTTGGACACCCCTATGAGGGGCCTCATATATTAGATTTCTGTCACTTTTAGGCTTTATAAATCCTGGTGTAAGTTAATAATGGGTGGATTAAAATTCACACACCTGCACCTGTTTTGGGGTTGCAAAATATAAAGAAAAAGTTATTTTGGTTCCTTCAGTCAATAAAAAATTATTAGGACAAAGGGAAATAACTCTTATTTATAAATCATTTTAATACAATGTACACACAATGAACATACAAAATACAATTATTCCTTCAATAAATACATATGGTACAACTGATACATATTTCTTCAAACCAAATGTATAATAGAAAATATATCAAATTAAAGAGGATATAACAAAACTGGAGAGAGAGATAGGAAAAGAGAGGGGTTGATATTGGATATTTTAAAAGCACACAACATAAGCAGGACATGTATTCTTTGCAAACAATGCGAGCTAATGCAATGAAAGACACTGTATTTCGACAGCAACTATTAATAAATAAAACAATACAAATGAATGGGAGATGATAACTAAAATAGGAAAACCTTGCCTAAAAAAGGGAGACAATCAAATAATGTTTTCACGAAATAAAAGTAGACAAGGAAATGTGCAAATAAAAACAAATTAAAAAAGCAGTGGGTTGCTTAATTGATCTAGTTTACTAATGAAAGAAACTTTATAAGAAATAAACCATTATGTATAAATTTGTTATAAATCAAAAGCAAAAAGTGTGTATGTACAAATTCCACCTATTAACATAAAATCTTTTGTCTGGCCCTGAAATGCTGCTTGCTGTTAGGTTAGACTTATAATAAACCATTAGAAAAACAACAATATTCTGTTAAAACTTAATAACTGATAAAATATGAATAAATTCGTATTAAAGTCTAAGATTTTAAGACTAAATTCTTCTCTGACAACCTTACTGGTCACCTGGTATAATCCCCACCTTGAATTAGGGAGGCCATAGGTTTGATCTCTGACTTATAAAACTAGAGACTTTTCAAACATTGAATTACATTCTAGTACCATGATGACACTTAAAATCTATGGTATGATTCAAGCAGTGGAACATGTATGAAATCAATGATGAATGATAACATATCATGTGACAAGGTCATGTGATAAGATCATGTGATAAAAGGAATCATTCATCAAAAGCATCTACATGTACTGATTCTAACTGCAATCAGAAGAATACAAATTCATGAATACCTTTCTGGAAAACTTTGTCTATTTGCATTTATAGCTTTGTTTACGATCAAATAATTTCAGTAAAAAATCTGGACTGATAACTGGTCATTCCCAATCTTTGACGGCATATTTAAATACTCCTACAAATGACCATACTGTTGATTCATTTGTTTTCAACAGTACAATTTTTTTGTGGATTCAGAAAAAAACTTGTAGTTTTTTCAACCTTTGTGGATACTAATAGTTTAGTTGTATTCAACAATTCTGCATAACAAGCCTAATGGAAATTTGCATATTTTTTAACATTTAAGGGAGCAACCATTTAACTTCAAGGGGAGGGTTATGGTTTTTTGTTTGAGTCAGAAATTTTTTTTCGTGCAAAGTGCTATCAATTTTATTTAGTTTTTCAACACTATCATTCAAATTATTTTTCTCAATATTTAACACTATAAGGTATGGGGAAAATCTGGATTCAGAATATTTTTTAATTTTTTTTTCATCAAATTGGGGATCAGAATATTTTTTTTAGTAAAAAACCATAACCCCCCCCTTGAAGTTAAATGGTGGTTCCCTAAATTAGTGGTTTCACCTTAACCCACAAATTCCACATAAACTAGTAACCCACCAATAATAATCAATCCACATAAACTAGAAACCCACCAATAATAATCAATCCACATAAACTAGAAACCCACCAATAATAATCAATCCACATAAACTAGTAACCCACCAATAATAATCAATCCACATAAACTAGAAACCCACCAATAATAATCAATCCACATAAACTAGTAACCCACCAATAATAATCAATCCACATAAACTAGAAACCCACCAATAATAATCAATCCACATAAACTAGTAACCCACCAATAATAATCAATCCACATAAACTAGAAACCCACCAATAATAATCAATCCACATAAACTAGTAACCCACCAATAATAATGAATCCACATAAACTAGAAACCCACCAATAATAATCAATCCACATAAACTAGTAACCCACCGTAACCCACCAATAATAATGAATCCACATAAACTAGTAACCCACCGATAATAATGAATCCACATAAACTAGTAACCCACCGATAATAATGAATCCACAGTGTTTGACATTTAGGATCAGCATATTTATATCTATATCATTTTAAATATGCCAATACAAGTTGACCAATTCATAACAATTGTATCATTCTCCATTTCAAAAAGATCTGATTGGCCTGTTTTTGTAAAGTTATCTTGAGTTGCAGATATTATATTAGAGAAACATTTCCAGAAAGATTTCCATTCCATGTTTTAATCTTATCATTCTGAAAAAAAGATAATTATATGAGTATGAATATTCATAACACTACAAATATCAGTCAAAAAAGTTGTTTCTTTTTCAGCAAAGATTAAAAATGTTTTAATCTAAGTGTTAAACATAAAAAGCCAAAGCAAGCTTCAATACCAAATGGGTTGTGTTTCAACTTTTAGTTTAAGTTTTCAATATTGCATTAGATTTTTTTTTCCACAGCAGGAATATTTACTCCTAAAAAATGCATACTACTATAAATTTCCTCCCACTATTTTTAAAGATCTCTTTTTGTCATTTTTCTCTCTATTTTTATAAATTCTGTTCGCTTATCTCATGAGAAAAGAAACAAATTTTGACAAACACATGCAATACATGTTTGGACTTACACATTCTTTCCCATGTTCTATATTCTGTAGATATTAATAAGTCATATTTTACCCATATCTATTTATACACATAAACTATCCTATATACACCAGTCTGAACTGTGTTTTAAAATGATTCAAAATAGCTACCATTAATTAATGGAATGAACAAATGCTGTTTGTATGAACAGAAGACAGAAAAAAAATTAAGCTTACAGTAGTTTTTGTCTCAACTATCTACACTTATTTAATATATGGTGAATTCTTAGAGTTCTTATAGAGCGCTGACTCATATGTAATACAAAGTTAAATGATACCAACTTACAAATTATAACCTTTATTACAATTTTGTCTGGCTGTAATTATTCTATTTTAAATTTGTCAATTATATATATTTTTTTTATCTGATTGAGATAACAGGAAAAGTCATAAAAAATGAAGGCAAATCTGTGGTTGGGAATTAAAAAAAAATAAACAGAGTTATCTCTCTTAGGTTATAAAATTATCACACAGATTGATACCCCTGTGCATTTTTTTCAGATTTACTAATTAGTAACTACAACAAAACTTTGGACTATAAGCAAAAAAAATAACAAATTAAATAATATGGCATATGAAAGGCAAAACATTTGACACCCACAGATATTTTTTTTAAATTCCATTACCAGATTACGAAGAAAAAACAAAAGTGGTTCTTGCCATAACAAAAACATATATATACAGCATTGAAAAGCTGTAATTAAACCAAACATAAGTTGGTTTGCTTTCCCTCATCTTCTGACCTATCCATTGATTTGTGAAAAGTTTAGTTTGAGAAATTTGCTCATTTTTTTAATTTATTATTCTTAAGCATTGTTCTTTTCTTTTATCAATTTCTGGCCAATTAAGATTTGATTACCGGTATATACAACAAAAAATATCCTGCCAATTTGAAATGTTTAGGTAAACTAGAACCAACGTACATGTATATGTAAAGGTGACCTTATATATATATATATATATTCACATTGTGCAGATCAGCTATAATAAAAATATAAGTATTTGAATTATATCAACATGCCTCCATTTCCAGCTTGTAACTTTGCCTCACTGAAAATAAATAATTTTCTACTTTCATATTCATCATGCCCATTGACCTTCACCTTCAGTTTGTCCTTGACTTTTGTACTTACACATTCTTTTTTGTCAATTATATTCTATTTGATAAATCAAAAACTTGGTTAGTAACAATATACTTTAAATACTCAGGAAAAGTCAAATCAGTATCATAAGGCTCAATTAAAACAAAAATTGAAAAAACCAAAAACAAAACTGGTTTGACATTTTTTTAGACACCCATTTATTGTTGAAGATTACATGTTGCCCTCCAGATGTCTTTTGATATTTGTCCTTGGGTTGCTGTCTTATTGACCTAAACGTTTATCTAACTTTTCTTTTTATTCATTTTCAAAAGACTAGTTAAATCAATCTCCGATGTAAACGCTTCAGGGCACTGACCTGTCTTCAACATTGAGCAAAACCAATACCTACATATAGGATATAGTGAGGTTAATAAAAGACCCTTGCATGGCAAAATGTGAAACGATTCAAAATAGAAAACAAAAGGCCTAATTATGCCTAAAAAATAAATGAAAAACATATATATATATATATATATGACAGACCGCCACAACAACCACTGAAAAACAGGCATCTGACTTTGAACAGGTGCATAGATAATGTGGCATGGTTAAACATGTTTGTGAATGCTTAACCCTCCCCTATCCTTGGAAAGTGGTGTAATGTATATATATATACACAATTCTCTATACCAAACTAGTCATATATGGGAATGTTGTTATGTATGAAATTGAGGCCCATCCAGCCATTGACATGGTCCCCCATACAAGTGGCATTTCTCTTTTAATCATAAGAATTGATTATACAATACCTAGGAAAATGAGAAAAGGTATCATTATCAATGTTTAAAAAAAAATCATGTTAAAATTTGAGTGGGCATTCCATGGTGGGCAAGGTGGAAAGAGCAAAATCCACTTCAATTGTACTGTTTTTATCTCTTTTTCTTGAACTCAACATATGAAAACCTTTCCTATATGAAATAAACAGTATTTTGTCATTATGATGTATTAAAGTCAAGATTATTTCTGGCTTTCTTGGTTCTTCGTAAGGCCAGTACTGCATATGTCTTAACACACCACCTATATCAATAATCATGATCATACACAAATAAAATCTGTAAAGTTAGCTACAAAAATATATCTATAATCAATAAAGAGGGTTCTTCCTGCTGCAGGATTTATTCTCGAATCTTGTTTCTGTGTTCTCTAAATGTCACAAAATTGAGAAAAGTTGCATTATGTTATGAAAAAATTTAGAAACCATGATGTTTGTTAATTATTCATGATTTCTTAGTTTAAGGTTGAAATCAACATCTGCTTTCCTTTAGCAACAATTTATTACATTGTTATTAAATCAGAACCAATAAGATAATCACTAAATAAAAAGTACAGATACAAACAATATAATCTTGAACTTCATACTTTTTAAACTTAATATTTCAGATTGGGATATCTTTAATATCTACTGCATATAACCTCACCTTAACTGCCAAGTACATTCTCAAATCTTCATCTTGTCTATCGTCCAACCAGATCAGTCCATTTTGTTCACTGGTAATAAACTGGAAGGTGAAGGTCTCATTCTGAACCCTGGCCAGGATATCTTGCTGTTCGAATCCAACTTTGTCAAAATCATAATGGATATATGCGTTGCCATGGAAACGAACAATATTTGAGAAGTACTTGTCAAAGTCTGTGACATCGTAGCCGCTGAAATATTGTCGAGATCCTGTCTGAACTACACCGCCTCCTGGGTTAATTACTGTCCGTTGGGTTGTTACCTGGGCTGAAAATTCAATTAAATATTTTTTGGTTATAATAAAAAGTAGTTGTTTGATATCTTGACCTCTAAATGTTAGTTGATGCACTTTCTCTCTGTCTTATACCCAACATCATGCATCTTTTATTCAGACATATTTTATTTTAGGATTTCCCTATTACCATGATTACCAACTTAAAATTTTATTGGCATTTTTTTTTTATTGAATGTAACATACAGGTCTTCCTCAATGTATAGTGAGGTTCAGGCAGAGGTATAACCTCCTCCCCTTAAGATTGAGAAAAAATATAATTCAAAATTTGTTTTCCTATTTGCTTGCCACTTTTATTACCACTACAAATAATTATATCCCCCTTTTCATAAAACTATGGATCTGCTCCTGATTAACTTCAGGTAAAATTTTGAGCAAAATAAAATAAAAATCCAGGAAACTCTAAAATCACATGTACTTTCATCCGATTTATAATTTTTTTTTCACTATCAAATGTGGCATTTAAATTTATTCAAATAGGTCAGGTGATGGACTGACCATCATGACCATACAAAGCTTCTATTGGAATGTGTAACAAGTTTGAAAAAGAGTGATGAAGGAAAGCTTCAGAAATCTCTGGTTGATTCAGCACTCTCTCTCCCCATGGTTCAGATACCTTGCCCCCCCCCCCCCCCCCCCCAAAAAAAAAATCAGCCTCTGTTAACTCGTTTAAAAACAAATTTATCAAATGGTCAACTGGGACAGAATTATTCCATTCACATACACAAACAAATATGTTAATTATGTACACCAAACAAGACTGTCAGTGATGTCAAATGCACCCTGTGGGCCCATGAACAAACACAATAAAATATTTGCCAAATCAAATGTCATTTTCTCTAAAGGGATGATATTGTGTATTCATATGTACTTGGGGACAGGACAATTTTTTTTTTGCCCTCCCCATTTTTTCCAAAATATGATTTTTTTTGGTTTTCTATTAATTTCAATTATTTTCACGTTTTTCTGTATTATATGAAAATAACTATACTAGAAATGACTTGTATTTGCTATTTACTATCAGTTCCAAGTTTACTATCCACAGCAGTCACTGATATATTATGTTTAAGTACCTATGTGCTGATGAGTGTACATGGTGTATTGGGTTTAGAATTTAGATACCAAGTTAGTGATGTTCATCATTCCTTTGTTGTTTATTGGGTGAAACTTGCACCTGATTAAGAACTATTTACAATTATCCAAATAATCTTTTATTCGTGGGGTTAGGGGTACCAATTTTCGTGGTTTTCGTGGATGGCTTTATCCACGAATTTAAGTTTCAAACGAAATATAAGGGACAAGTTATGGTCCAATTAACACCTTTGGTGACCGTTAATCTGTTGATCAAACAATCTTGGGTTAATTAGTGTCATCACTTCTGATTACCCGTGTGCAACAATTAAAATGTTTACTCTGCAATTTCCTTCAATCGATCTGGGACTATCATACTATATATATATATATATGTCCCAGAATCGATGATGTAAATTTTTACAAGACTTTGCATACAGCTAACTTCATATACATGTAGGTGAAAGTATAAATAATAAGTATTCCCATTTCTCCACTTCAATTATTGAAGTCTATTAAAAAAACATAACCACCCAGAATATCAGATTTGGGCAAATATTGTCAAACAGTGAAAAAAGCCTCTTCAGGTTATCTATCCCGTTTCCCACAAGAACGTAACACGGACGGGGAGTGACACGATATTGCAATGTCTCATTCCTAATAGCAATATTGCGTGTGAGTGCTCTGAGGGTGAGTGATACTTTCAGCAGTGGTGGATTCAGGGTTGCAGAGGACATACCCTCCCTATGATCGGAATAAAATCGGCAGTAATTTTACCATTTTAGAAAAAAATACACCCTCTTTACTCCTGAAATTGTCTGAATCTATTCTCAGTGTCTGTGGTGCCGGTTATCTGTGCATGGGTCTGCTAAACAAAGTAAATATTCTTTCAATTCATGAAATCTTTTTACAAAAATAAATTAAAAGGCTTAGTCGAATGTCATTTTTTTTAATCTGCTCAATTACAAATCAAGAAAACTTACTCTGTTTTTTTATAATTTATTTCTACGCCGTTTTTAACGTTTTTAAATCTTTAGTTTTTACAAATTCAGACAAACATATATATAAGTATCCTCCTTGTGAACCCCTCTAAAGGTGCAGAAGTAATTAATACAGACAAAATACAGATGGTTTGTTATTATTAGAAAGAAGATTACCCAATCTCCTATCTGTCTAAAGCATTACTCATCTAAAAAACATTCTGAATCAGATCAAACAAAAATCATCATCATCATCGCATCAGCTGTAATGGGATTGTAGTGTATATGCTAGTAATCAGTTGAATAATTGTTGCTATTTATGTCCAGTGACAAATATTTCAAGCATATTCATGATGAGGTTTAATTATTTTTAGTTGCTTTTAATCCGGTTTTCGAGTGCCGCATTATGTATAAGTTATGTATTTTGGAAGATTGGTCTACATGCTTCTTATATTTATAATATATTTTCTCACAATTTAAGGTACTGAAAAAAATCGCTAGACCTCTAGAAGGGTTAATTCGTTATTTCAGTAATTCTTTCAGTAGATTCACTGGAAGCACAGGCGATACATGTAATATTTCAATTGTCTGTAAAAAGGGTGAATGATAAACAATTTTTACAGGGAGAAGTTCGGCTAGGTGACTTTATCCCAATCAACCCTTGTGCTGCTTTAAGAAATAAATATAGTCATCCTGGCTAGAAGGAAGGACTGTGGCAATAAACAATTTTTACAGGGAGAAGTTCGTCAAGGTGACTTTATCCCAATGAACCCTTTGGCTGCTTTATGAAATAAATATAGCCATCCTGGTTGGAAAGAAGGACTGTGGAAATAAACAATTTTTACAGGGAAAAGCCCTTGGACTGTTTAATGAAATAAATATAGTCATCCTGGCTAGAAGGAAGGACTGGTTTTGTCAATCTAGATGTTCAATCTATTTTGATATTCATGGATGATGCGGGGGAGGATGTTGATTTTAATTACATTGTTGTCTGTTTCTAATTATTAATCTGTTATCTCGGAGGTAGATAAGTCGTGTAATGGTCAGTTTTAATCAAGATAAGACGGCCTACCACAGCGAGCAGAATTCCATGCACAGTCTTAGTTCGAATAAATTTCAGTATTAATTCGCTATGAAAAAGAAAACATAAATCAATCTATAATTAAATCCAGTTGATTCTGTTTTAAAAAACTACATGTATTTTATTTTCTAAAGATGTTTTGCATGCTGGTACATACGGTACATAGTAGACAAGGGTAATTTTTACACAACGTAAACAAATGACTTATTTCTGAAAATATTTCGATCTTTGATCCTTAAAAAACTGAGACTGGATATAGTTTTCATTTTTACTGGTTCTACCAGCACAGTCGAAGTAATTTACTCTTTTGACTGTCTATTTATTCTTTAGGAAATAGATTATAGATTTAGGGGGGGGGGGGGGAGAAAACGAATGTGAAAGTTTTTTTCTGTTTGTTTACATTTTGATTTTATTAAAAAAGGTTCTTTATTGGATTAAGGGTCTAAAATCTAAAATTAGGCAAGGTAATAGGGCGGTGTGGTTATATTTCGTGGACTACCGTTGATTATAAAGATTTCGTGAAATATTTCTCAGATACGTAAAAATTCACACATTTCAGCTATTTTGTTTTACATTCATAAAAGTTCATAACAGAAGAGTCAAACAGTGTTCTTAAAGTAAACATATCACGACTAATATATTTAAAGTTCACTTACCTATACATAGAAAGGCAACGCTAACAAATATTTCTATCAAAATCTTCATGTTTATAACGTTATACATTCATACTTCAGTCTCTTTATAAAAATTTCTTTACTTCTCAGTTCACCCAGCTATTTTCAAATTATGTCACTAATATTTCAAATATTTCCGTTACACTTCAATTATAAATTCTTTAAAGTCCACTTGTTTGAAAAGATAAGTGTTGCACACCAAAGATACAGAAGCTGTCAAATGACGTCACTTCCCTTCAGCTAGCCTCTCTACGAAACGAAATGCGATATAGATGCTATCTACTCATCCCCAGTACATTAAACCGATGTTGCTATGGAAAGTGTGTCTTCATTCATTGGTATGGTGGTTAATGTTTTTCATCCCTTACTTAATCAAAGGCGATCACCCCGATCTGACTTGAAGGCATTTTACTTGTATATAATTAATGGATTGTATATAAAAATGACACCCCTCCTATTGGCCCCCGGCAATGTAGAGGTGATGAAAAAGTCTTAGCTACTGTTAAATACATTGCTGGTAGCCAAAAATAGTCAGTTAAATTTCTTATTGCTCATTCATTCATTGATTCCAGAGGTATACAGTGGGATAGATCAATATGTTTTCAATTATTTTTTACCTTAATTTTTCTTTAAATACAGTTCATTGAATTAACATCTAAGAACAAACATGTATTTATATTTTGATAACATATAACTATATCTGTTTGATAAATTTGCATATTCATTACACAGAAAATTATAAAAACATAATTAAAAAAAAAACGTAAATTAAATTTAGCCCCATTTTATATTTACACCTGTAGTATACTTATTCCCACAGTTAGGTGATTTTAAAAGAGCTTTTATCGTTTAAAGTTATCATTGATGACTTAATAATGATTTAGAGATGTAAAACGTGAGAAGTAATTATTAAACTGAACTTTTAGTTTCACTTTTAATTTTAAGTAAATCAAAAACGAGCATCTAGGACATTTCATTTGCATTCAGCTTTGTAGGGAAATATGAAATTATTTTGAACTTTACAGAATCAATTTTAAATTTATATATTAATTTGATATATAAAGTTATTTCAAATGGATTTGTTTCTGGAGTTGTCCTAACATACTTAAAATAAAAGATTCACAATTATTACATAATAAGTAGATGATATATTATGAAGAAATTAGACACCAACCAATTGCTAATATATATATACATAAATTCATAAGTATTCATATGTAGATTTAGATAATTTTTGGACGGTATACTAAAATTTAAAGATGATATGCTTTATCCTGCTTACAAATTCACGAGGCTCATTGTTTGCCCTGAAAAGGTTAAAGGTTAAAGATGCAAACCCTACTCTCCCTATTTTTGCAATAACTGGTAAAAGTCACATAGTTCGCATGAATAATATGCAATTACATATTTGCCACTGAACGTTAAACTCAGAAAACCAAATAACCGATCAATCCGGAAAATAATCAATCAACCAATCAAAGACAAGAGAAAAGACAGTGAAAGGATAAAAAAAGTAGAAAAACATTTTAAGTTAATTTCGCAAAAGGGGAAAGAGACAAACTGCATATAAATCACATACATTTTTTATGGTAAATTAACGATGAATAAAAATGTCCATCTAAGATGACTATCGCAAATGATTTATAGCTTTATGACGTTAAATAAGCCACAGTATAAGGGAAAAATATTTAAGTTTTGTGGCTAAAAGGTACCTCTTTCCTTTTTATATATTTAAGTTTTGTGGCTAAAAGGTACCTCTTTCCTTTTTATATATTTAAGTTTTGTGGCTAAAAGGTACCTCTTTCCTTTTTATATACTAATTTTTATACTACACGCTCCACGAGAGAAGAAAACTATTTCTTTTGTGTCTCCGGGGAGAAAGAAATATCACTTCAGAAATATTGAAGAAATTAATCTTACAGATAATAGTATGAATCACCTGGTATTTATACAGGTAGTACACATAGTAATATTACTGTGCAACAAACAGGTGCAGTCAATACAGGAGGCTCCAATGGGATTAAGACTGATAACCAAAGGTTCCGATGGGATTGTAACTGGTGGGATACAACTGATGATGATTGAATTGACCGATGGGATTTATAGTTCTAGTGGGACCCAATATGATGTTTTATGAAGGAATACACCTTATCGCTATTTGTCCGCCATTACTGGACATAACACAAGTTCCCGTAAAATTTTGACGTCATAATAGAAATATCTGACGCCACAATGGAAAAGTGATTGTTGTATGACGTCAAAAGTTCGAGCGGGACTGATTCTCGGGTCAAGCGGGATTCAGTAGCGATAAGGTGTATATCAAGGGGGTGACCATTGGCAATTCTAGGAAGGTGAAGGTGGTGATTTTGGAAAATTAATATTCTGGGGAGGGGCAGTTTTTTGGAAATTAATATTCAGACTATGATTGATTGATTGATAGTTATTTGCTTAACGCCCAGTGCCAAATATTTAACGCTTGTCCAGGACGAGAACAAATTAACAATAAATACAATAGGTAGGTCCTGTAAAAGTGGTCGTCTGCGATGAAAGTCGTGGAAATATTGACTGGCACTGGAAATTAGGGTAAATTGGATAGAGACAGAAATTTTGCCTTGCAACAGGCTACATACGGACCCACAAAGAGTTGTCGTAATGGTTCTTAACGTGTAGAAAGCGTGGTACTCTCTTTCATGAGGCATCGGCTTTAACGTCCCCATTATGACCGGACCTGACTGCGAACTTGTAAAACCAGCACGGCCGAACGGACGTCAAACTTTGGCAAAGGTGTAACTATCAGTCGGAAGAAGACCAAAGTGACCATATTTGTATTCCCCAATCGATCTTTGGGTAGAGGGGGTTAATATTTGTGTACAAGAGTGAAAATGAACAAGCTGTACTAGCAACAGGTGAAAATAAAGTTTCCGCATCCGCAAAAAAAATAATCTTTCTCCCCTTCAGTCAATCAAATGGTCGTCTCTTAATGATGCAGTCGGAATAAAATATTAAAACTCTTTAAGATTTACTTCATTGGTAATCGCCATGGCATGACATGTGATCATACACAGACACATTATTCGCAGACTATGATACGACCAATCTTTGCTCTAACTCCTCAATGCCGCGTGATAGGCGGAGACGCAGCAAATACCAATTTTCAAGTGACCCGTCCGGGGTTCGAACGCACAACCGCCCGAATCCGAGACGAGCAAAAAAACACTGAGGAAATCACCGATGCAGTGAAACTATTAAGAAACGTAACACTTGTGATTTACCACAATATTCCGGGTATATGGACATGATGATGTAACGAAAAAAAAAAATCAATTCCTTCGAAATCATGGAAATATGAGGGAAAATAAAAATTCTCAGATTTTTTGGTGTCGATTTTAAGGTCTTAACTTAAAAACGCGTGAACACTTTTAATCAATATTGATCTGCCAATTGCAGTCTTCTGTCGTCAATCACAACGAATCTCTATCAAGGCCAGAGACCTCAACAGATCCACAAGTCACATGACGAATTTTCTGAAACAGTCCATTGCAAGTTTGATAAAATCAATTTGGATTGTCTCCCTTGTTTTTCAGTCTCGTATACATTCGAGAAACTTGTACCTCTGGTTTTGTGCATAAGTAAGTCTTCCCGATCGATCTTCTTCAATGTTTGATGTTTCTTGTTTGAAGTATTTGTTGCATATGTGCATCTCATATACAATTAACGTACTTTTATTCATATTTCATAGGAGAAAAGATATAAAACGGAAAAGTGGATCAAATTTTTCAGCATTTGCGTTTGTATCGCCTAACAGGATCCTAATTTATTCAACAGGGTATTACCAATATTGCATATACATGGATACAATCCCTTAACAGCTTTCCATAAAACACAAGTGTGCACACGCTGAAATCTCTCTCCTATTTCACTGGTTATGGTTGAATTATATGTTTTAAGGGAGCTACCATTTGATTTTTATGGGGAGGGGAGGCTAGGATAATATTTGAAAAAGGCAGGACAGGAGTTTTGAGAAAAAAAAGACAGGATGAGCAACTAGGCAAAAAAAAAGGCAGGATGACAATTTATGTAATAAAAGTCAGGATAAACTAATAAAAAATAGGTAGGACCGAATAGAGTGGAAAATAAAAAGGCATTACAATCAAATGGTAGCTCCCTAAGTTGGTTGTAAGAGTTCCTTAGATCTCACGTTACTTTTTATTTTGTAAATATGTAAATATTAATAAAATTGATTTCCTTACTTATACCTAAAGTCCTAAAGATAAAGGTCACTTAAAAATAATATCAAAGAATATGAAAATGAGGTTGAATTTAGATGGTCTATCAGACAGACATGTTAAACTTACAATCATTTGTGTAATTACTCAAAATTTGCCAAAATCTGTCAAAATTGTAGCTTTGAGCTATCTTTAGGCATGATTTGGTCATAAGTTCGAAAATATACCAAAATGTTGGTAAAATCTTAATGTACACATTAGCATCTATGATACTGTGAATTTTCTTTCTAGGATGAAAAATGTTGTCCTGCATTTTTTTTAGTTGTAATCTCTGTCCTGCCTTTTTATTTTTCACTCTATTCTGTCCTGCCTTATTTTTTTTAATTTATCCTCACTTTTTTTTTACATAAATTGTCATCCTGCCTTTTTTTTTTTTGCAAAGTGTCTCATCCTGCCTTTTTTTAACCGTTGGCTCAAAACTCCTGTCCTGCCTATTTTTTACAAATTTCATCCTAGCCCCCCTCCATAAAAATCAAATGATAGCTCCCTAATAGGACAGACAAAATAAACAAACAAAGCTCTGACAGATCGGTGTACATATCAGTTAACTTACCTGGTCTTGGCGTCGTCCTTCGTGTAGGAAGAATTCCAAAAGAACCATTTACCACGTAAAATCCATTACCCCCTTGAATATTAATTGAACCTGGATCTACAATCACTGGAGGTTGCGGTCGAGGTTGGACTACAGGTGGCTGTACAACAATGGGTGGCTGTGTCTGTACAATGGGTGGCTGTGGCTGAATAAGAATAGGTGGTCTTGGGCCTCCACCATTAATTTCTGTGCGAATGATTTTGTGAGTTACCAGATACTGTTTTCTAGCATTCCAAATATCTAAACGTTCAAAAACAGCATCGGCATACCTTTCCCTAACCATATCCGATAAAGATCTTCCCAAGTACAATTTACTGCTCCAATCACGGACCTCATCTTGGGGTGTACCAAACGTCGTGTGAGCAGCATCAGCTCCATTCAGTGTCATTGTGAGACCTGAAAGTCAATGAATAACATTTGTTTTTTTTTCAACAAATACGAAAAAAAATAAATTCAGTTGAAAAAATGTAAAATGGAACTTTAATTTTGAAATAAGCTATATCATTCGAAGTCCATACGTTTTTTTTCACCTCCAACAATTATATATATAAGTGATTAAATGCTGTGGAAGTTTTTGAAGGTGAAACCCACTTCTTTTCATCCGAGTGTATTGAAAAATAATCTCAAAATTTTGAAAATAATATTTATGATCATCCATAGAAACATTCCAGAACAAAATGATTTAGATAAAAATGATACACTAACAAACAATATTATTTATTTCTGTACTAATTCAGTTTGTCCATTTAAAAAAAGTCAATAACACTGCATAGGGTATGACTCGTTAACTGTATAATACACTCTTTCATGTTATTAACGTAATTATGCTGAAGTTAGATTATTTCATCCTTCCTGTATTGTATTTCATCCTTCCTGTATTGTATTTCATCATATCTGTATTGTATTTCATCATATCTGTATTGTATTTCATTCTATATTTGTATTGTATTTTATTCTTTATTTGTGTTGTATTTAATTCTACATGTATTGTAATGTATTTTGTATTGTATTGTATTGTATTGTATTGTATTGTATTGTATTGTATTGCATTGTATTGTATTGTATTGTATTGTATTGTATTGTATTGTATTGTATTGTATTGTATTGTATTATACTGTATTGTATTGTATCGTATTGTGTTGTATTGTATTGTATTGTATTGTATTTCATTTCATTTCATTTGTATTGTAATGCATTCTATTTGTATTGTATTTCATTCTGTTTGTATTGTATTTCATTCTTATTTGTTTTGGATTTCATTTTATTTTAAGGTTCATATATGTGCATTTGAAATTTGAAAAATTAACTACCGTTGCTTGTGGATGACACAATTAAGATTTATTACGTCTATAAGATGCCACAATTAAAATTTATTACGCCTATAAGATGCCACAATTAAGATCCATTACGTCTATTATTACCCGCTAGTGGATGCCACAATTGAGATCTATTACGTCTATAATTACCTGCTAGTGGATGCCACAATTAAGATCTATTACGTCTATAATTACCTGCTTGTGGATGCCACAATTAAGACCCATTACATCTATTATTACCGGCTAGTGGATGCCACAATTAAGATCCATTACGTCTATTACCCGCTAGTGGATGCCACAATTAAGATCAATTACTTCTATTTTTACCCGCTGGTGGACGCCACAATTAATATCTATTACGTCTATCATTATCCGCTAGTGGATGCCACAATTAAGATTCATTACGTCTATGTTTACCCGCTAGTGGATGCCACAATTAAGATTCATTACGTCTATTTTTACCCGCTAGTGGATGCCACAATTAAGCTCCATTACGTCTATTTTTACCCGCTAGTGGATGCCACAATAAAGATCTATTACGTCTATAATTACCTGCTTGTGAATGCCACAATTAAGATCCATTACGTCTATTTTTACCAGCTATTTGATGACACAATTAAGATATTTTACGTCTATAATTACATGCTTGTGAATGCCACAATTAAGATCTATTAGGCCACACCAATTTGATTAATAGTTCTTTGGATTTTCCCGCTCCTGTTTTGGAGAAATTGACTTTTCAATAAAAAAAAATTACCGCTTCCGCAAATTTTTGGTCCGCATGCAGCTCCAAAATTAGTTTCTCCTTGAAATTTTTTCTCTCCAATTAGACGCTTTTCGGTTGCATATAATGCCCCTATCGTTTTAAACACACGTGTGATAAATCTATTTGTAAATAAAAGATCAAAAATCGGGATGCCAACATGTAGTTGTGTAAGCTAATTGCCGTGGACAGGTAGTTATTGAACACACAGTTATCCGAATTGCTTCTCGTTTTACCGTTAAAGACCAGTTCTAGGATGCAAAACTTAAAAATCTTTCACTAGATGACCACAAACACATCAATATTTGTTAGAACCATCGTCACCCCGATCCTTGTTTCAACAGGCATAGACCTATCTATCTTTTGGATGAAATGAATTGTAAATTCCCATGAACTTTTTTAACACGAGTGCACACGCTGAAATGTCTCGCCTTCTTTACTAATCATTTATATTATGTTGATAGTCCTAAATATAAAACTTTATTACAACTGTCACATAAACTTAACATTAACCAAGTAAACTAAACATTGACCAATGAACCATGAAAATGAGGTCAAGGTCAGATGAACCATGCTAGGCAGGCATGTACAGCTAACAATTCTTCCATACAACAAATATAGTTGACCTATTGTTTATAGTTTAAGAAAAACAGACCAAAACACAAAAACTTAACACTGCATGAGCAATGAACCTTGAAAATGAGATCAAGGTCAAATAAAACCTGCCTGACTGACATATAGATCATAAAATATTTCCATACACCAAATATAGTTGAACTATTGCATATAGTATTAGAAAAAAAAAGACAAAAACTCAAAAACTTAACTTTGACCACTGATCCATGAAAATGAGGTCAAGGTCAGATGACACCTGCCAGCTAGACATGTACACCTTACAATCATTCCATACACCAAATATAGTTGAACTATTACATATAGTATTAGAAAAAAGACCAAAACTCAAAAACTTAACTTTGACAACTGAACCATGAAAATGAGGTCAAGGTCAGATGACACCTGCCAGCTAGACATGTACACCTTACAATCATTCCATACACCAAATATAGTAGACCTATTGCATACAGTATAAGAAAAACAGACCAAAACACAAAAACTTAACTATAACCACTGAACCATGAAAATGAAGTCAAGGTCAGATGACACCTGCCAGTTGGACATGTACACCTTACAGTCCTTCCATACACCGAATATACTAGACCTATTGTTTATAGTATCTGAGATATGGACTAGACCACCAAAACTGAACCTTGTTCACTGATCCATAAAATGAGGTCGAGGTCAAGTGAAAACTGTCTGACGGGCATGAGGACCTTGCAAGGTACGCACATACCAAATATAGTTATCCTTTTACTTATAATAAGAGAGAATTTAACATTACAAAAAATCTTAACTTTTTTTTCAAGTAGTCACTGAACCATGAAAATGAGGTCAAGGACATTGGACATGTAACTGACGGAAACTTCGTAACATGAGGCATCCATATACAAAGTATGAAGCATCCAGATCTTCCACCTTCTAAAATATAAAGCTTTTAAGAAGTTAGCTAACGCCGCCGCCGCCGCCGGATCACTATCCCTATGTCGAGCTTTCTGCGACAAAAGTCGCAGGCTCGACAAAAATCACAGAAGTGTTTGATGTTGATGAAACCACATATCACCTTGTTAGTCTTTTGGCATGCAAGCAGAACTCTTTTTTTGTTGGGAGTAATTAAAAGAGTTCCAACGAGACCAATGTGATGCCGTATTGTGATTGGCATGCTCATAATAATTAGGGGTGTGTAATTGGTTCAACCACTTCTAGTCAAGCTAAAGAGTTTTAAATGCATTACAGCTTTTAGGAGCAATATGAAAGAGTACTTCTTAGTAAGAAAAATGCATGTGAATGGGGTGACAGGGTATTTTAAGGGAATATTTTAATACATTTGGATCTACATGTTTAGCAATATGACTATTTTACTCAGGATGTTGTTTTAGTACACAGCAAGAAGTATTCACCTCACTCATTATTTTGATCCTAAATATGCATTAATAGTTCCAACTGGATGTCAAGCAGCAAATAAAGAAAGACAACAGTAGTATACCGCTGTTTTATAGTCATAATTCGATTTAGCAAAAACAAATCCGAGTAACAAACTTAAAACTAAAAGAGGAAAACAACGGAACAACAGAAACACTGAACTACAACAATAAACAATCATTACCATATAATGAAACTATCAAATATCTTTCAGGGGCATTTTTTGGAAAAATACATATATTTAATCAACATGTGTCATTTACCTAACTAACATACTTTCTCTTGTATAACTGCATCTGCTATGCTGCTTCCTAAATATATATATGGATTTAAATGAAAATTCACATAGACAAAGCTTACTTGAAGAAAACCAAAATTAACTAAACCACAGTGTGACAAGAAAGTCTGATATGGTACAGGCACCAATAAATCAAATTAATTGCATTAGAGCATCTCTTGCTCCTCGTTTTTCTATGAAATAACCCAGTTATAACATGTACATAAATTGTACAACTTCTAAATCACACAATTAAATAATATCAAATTATATACCGCTCGCTTCACTTGTAGAGCACTCGACTCGAAAAAACTAATTTTCAAGAAAAATATAAAAACAAAAAAAAAATTCGCTCGCTCGCCCCATATTTTTTTAAGCTTTTGTCCGAAGAACTATTAATCAAATTGGTGTGGCCTTACGTCTATTATTACCCACTGGAGATGCCACAATTCAGATCTATTACGTCTATAATTACCTGCTTGTGGATGCCAAGTAATTTCAATATCTTGCCACTCGTTCTGTCTGATACCAGGAGTAGATACAGTCCATGCTTTAGTTGGAGTTCTGGCAGTGGCAAACAACTTTCCATCTCTGTAGTAAATCGACAAAGGGAAGCTATCCAGGAAGTACATATTATTTAGAAGGTTTTCAGGTTTCATTGCCATGCGCAGTGTGAATCCCTGTGGACATTTGTCAAGGTTACCCGTGCAAATAACATCATCCCCTACATAGATGTACTGTGATTTGCCATTGACACGGATTGAAGCATGCTGGTCACCTTGGGCACGTGATGGGCCGTTGATTAGGTAAATTGTTCCCGACGGAGTCACAATGGCTGCTGTTCCATTGCCGTATCGTCTTGGAGTTCGATCGAATAGTACTGGTCGATGGTTTACGGATCCTTGATGAGAGAAAATATCCCAAATAAAATAACGAATGTCAAAAAAGGAAAAAAAAATGTTATTTCAAATGAAATTTTGTTACAAGACAGATTAAATTTAAACTTTAGAGATTTCGAAAAACAACATTTTCATTCTTCAGTCCACTGGTGTTATCTACTCTGGTGTAAATCTATGAACATTTTTAATTAATGCCATAAATAACAATGAAATTCAATTGTTATATATTTCTATGCTCAGTAACTAAAACATAATCTAAACATCGTTCGCTTAATAAATTTAATTTTGATGTCTTGCTTCCACAGGATATGTAAATGTTTGGGTCAAATATGAAAATGACGCGATGTTTGAGCAACCAATGATTATGGATCAGAAAATAAAACATTTAACATGCAGTATTGATGATGGATCAAGTCCAAGAACATAATTCTTGATAAAATTTAAGAATTAAGTCTCAGCTCATTAAAATATTCCGTGAACTCACTTTGAGATTAAGTAAATAATATAAATCAATAAAACCGTGTTTCATTCATATTACTTAGAATATCATTTGCATATTATATAATTTGTTTTGGGAATGAAAACTTTTTTTTCTTAACTTTGAAAAATTTACACACCTCCCAAATGACCGGAAGCCATTACTTGATCACGTGGTCCATACCAGAACTGCACTTCATCAATGTCTGCTGCAGCTGTCCTAGAAGTTCTGTCAGACCTCCCAATCTTAACCGAGTTGGATGCTGGCTGATCTCCTTGCATTTGCTCTCTGAATCTTTTTGTTGTTGCTTCCAGGTTGCCGTCTATATAAAGACGAAGTCCAGTTTCCGGTGTCCAACTCAAATCCACATTGTGCCAATAATCGGGTTTGAAGTTTGGTGTAAACACCTCCCATATCTTACCTCTGCGATTAAATTTTCCTTGCAGACGACCATCACGGTAGAAAAGTGAATACGATGGAGTTGACAGGAAGTATGTGTCATCGACAAGGCGACGGGCTTTCAGCCACATTGAAACGGTAAGACCGTGCTTACACTTTTCAAGGTTTGCTAAGCATTTGTCATCGTGGACGCCAATGTCAACAAACTGTCCATATCCATTTAGTGAAACTGCATTTCCCATCTTTCCCGGAATTAGCCGAGCGCCATTTTCTAGAGTAACAGTAAATTTTGGATGATCAACTATGTCATTTTTTTGCGTTTCCATGGAGAAAATCTCGTGTCGAATGTTGTCTGTTGGAATTGAAAAAATGAAATAAAAGTCTTCAATGGCATATCATGCATGAGTAAGGTAAACACTGGGTACAAGGTACAAGGTATAAGGTATAAGTTGATACCAATTTTATCCCCTTTAAATTAAGTCCAAGAAAAAAAAAATACTGTTTCAAATCAGCAATGTAATTTTACATGTTCTACATTTGATGCCTTTTACTGTACTATTGTTCAACACTATTTAAAATATGATGAAAAAGATATGACTATCCATTATAATTGTTTATTTAATTTGCTAAAACAACAACAAAAAAAGCAGGAGAACATAGTAAATTGGTATCAACGGACTACAATTCATATGAAATCACAAAATACAACAGTACTAAATACCACTACAAAGAGACAAATCGTTCAAACTGGAAAAAGTATGAGAACAAAGTTTGATTGACATTTTAGGAAAATGGACGACGGAACTCATAACTAATTGGCGCTGTTGTATTTAATGATCCCCACACAATGAAATGAAATAAAGAGTTCAAACAAAAATTGAAACATGCTTGTGGTAGTTAACTAAAACTAGAAGGTATAAACAATTAACTTTGCAAAGTCTATCCCATGTATCTCTAATGACGTGACAAAACGTGTGAATTGTAGGAAAACACATCTGACCAATGATATCACAGATACAGATTTCCCAACAATACAATAGTTTTGTCTCTTGTCATTACAGGACAGTCATTATAAACACATGCAAAAGTAGAACTTAAAAATAGCAGAGCATAAAAAATAAAGAAAGGTTTTGAGTCCAAAACAGATATGAGGTTAGAAATAACAAAGGCTGATAGTGTTGTATGAATTTGAACTATTAAACATCACACCCTATTACCGGTTATCATAACGGAATATACATTAGGACAGTGAACTCGATTTCCATTCAAACTACTGTTTATGCTATCGTGTACAGCATAGTTGTGTCTGCCCTCACAATTGTCATTGCAATAACATTGATTTTGCAATCATGTCCACCATATTTTAATGTTATTTGTTGCATTTGTAATACCAATAGCAGGTAATATGATGTGTTTATATAACGACCTTGTTTCTTGTACATGTACAAGAAAGAACAAGATGACAAAATTTGACGCATTGAATTAAAAAAAAAACCTGTATAGCGAAGAGTGATACTCGTCTCCGTTTTTAAGAAAGGCTTGTAAATATGGACTTTAGTTTTTGTTGTCATTTTCATAGACTGTCTTCGTAAGCAACAAAAGTAAATCGATTTTAATCTGAAACGATCATTTGATCTGAATCCATCGTAAACGATTGATTAATATGTGTTTAACAAAAAACGTTTTTCAAATACACCAAGCTTATACTTTAATACGTCGGCTTAAGGTGGTACCAAGAACCTTGACTAAGATTAATTTGTCTCGTTTAATTTTCATAAAATTTTGACAAAACATTTACTTTGACCCTTTGACAAAAATATAAAAATTTCAAAAAACTTGAACCACACACTTTATCGGAAATATTTCATTGGATATATAGCAGTTTGACAAACACTAATTTTGATCATTGAGAAGCTTAATATTTCCATAACAATAGAACGGGATAAAAACGTTCAGCTGATTTTTACAGAGTTATCTCCCTGTAGTGTTATGTACCACCTTAAATCTCATTGGTAGCTTTTGAATAAAACAGTTGAAAGGCCAATTCCATAAGGAAGTTATAGAGCATTGAAAACGTTGTGTCAATGTCAGGTTCAGTCTTTCAGTTAATTTTCAGACAATATCAAAGCGGTATATTTAACACTAGTCATATACGATCAACAAAGGTCAGTTTATATCAGTTTGTAAATTAGCTGTTATTTCCCTGTGCTTATAATATCAAATTTCTGAAAAGTGACTGAAATGAGGTTGGTTAGCTGCAAGAGCAAGTTCAGACTACAATGAACTGCAATGAAATATCTGAAAAGGATCTTAGAATCTTAACTAAGCGTACGTTCAGACATTTCAAATAGTGATTGTCAATATTTCTTTAAATAGTTGAAAAAGGTTAAGAGAAGGAAATATAAACCATGTTAGGTAATGATAGCAAAGAGTTTCCATACCATTTTCTCTACACAAAGTTCATATTTCCTTTTTTACCGATTAATTTTCTTAGTTTTGAATCACATGGTAAATTAACACAGACATTGAAGCTATAAGTAAGTTTTCATTCATCTTCGAAGAAGTTTTTTTTCACGGATTTACCATAACATCTTTTCTAGGCAGATGATAATATAATAATAACATAAAAATGTAAGAAACATAATAGAGGGTCTGGATGGGGGATCCTTCATTTCTGTATTCTTTAATTTTTTAGGTTATTTTTCTCTATTCTTTATATATTTTTAGCATCCCACTGTTATCTATTCTTTATTTTTTTGGTTTTTTTTTTCTCTTAAATCCTTAATTTGTTTGGTCCATTTTTCTGTAGATTTGACTTATGATTCTCTATTCTGTAAACCCCATCCAGATCCTCGTAATAACCTGACACTATATTTCAATACATAGGAATATACGTAAACTAAGCATCATATACTAAAGCTAGATATCATATATGCTTTTAAAATACTACAATGTGGTATTGCTGTTATTATTTAGATTCTTTGAAGTCTGAAAGGTACTATTCTCAACTCATTGCTGAAAAATATTTATTCGTATTTGTAAACAACTTATCCATCAATCTCTCCCAGACGTTAAAAAAGGGAACTCTACGGACTGCAAACTGTTGCCTTTTCTAGAAACATGTAAATGTAAATTTTGTTTTAAAAAAAAATCGAGAGGACAGATTTATTATCATCTGTATTTGGTGTCCAGGAAATAAACTAATAAATTACAGTCTATAACCTATATTTAATAATATGTACTAATCAGTCTTTAAATCCCTTCGATGACAGAAACGTGACTTCAATTTATTGTTTTTTGCATTAAACATTAAAGGCAAACATCGAATTCAGATGCAATAAAACGATACACACAAAATTCTGGAAGGAAGGTAAGTCACTATTGTATTCTCAGTTTACTTCAGTAGCTAAATAATATATGGAAATGTTCATACAAATGGAAAAGTATAAACATTTTAAACTAGCAGAATATATACTCAGGCCTATGAAACAGTTAGTATTAATTTTAAATGTTTGCCTTAGTGTTAAAAGAAAGCAACTGTAAAGCATGGATGAGAAGCTGAAAGGATAAAACACTGCAATTCCAAACAACAGTAAAACCAGAAAGTATATATATGATTTTTCAATGTGAAATAGAAAGAGGACTAAAAACATAGATTTTGGTAGAGCTAATTTTTTGTGATTAAATCTATAATTTATTTTTCGTTTTGAAAAACGATTCCAAACTGAATAAATCTCTTAATTCAAAGAAATTGGGTTAAAGACAGTGTCTCTTGCAGGGAGACTGAATGGTTAGTTGTTGATAAACCAACCACTTTTTGATAATCCCAAACTATACTTGTTTTATTCAATTATGCGACAAAAAGGTAACTTCTCAGGAACTTTCTGGAATTATTGTTTAAAAATGAAGGTAAGCGTAAAAGCGGAATATAAAATACAAAATTAAATCTGAACACCAGAAAACGAATACAAATCCATTGAAGACTACAATAAACCTTTAATCGAAATCCTCCTTAGCAACCTGCCATGGTTACAGCATGTATCGGAAGTAGATAAGTGTGCGATCTGATACGCATGTGCGTGTACAGACATTCGACTGAAAGACTTTCTCACACGGTGTCTGAAATTGTTCCACATATATAACAATCAAAATTCAAAATTGATTACTTTATCTACAGAATTACAATATTTTTCTTAGTCTGCATGCAAATTGTGGGGATATGGAGCATGCAAATTAATTCTGACGTGAAGATACACACAGATAAGTCTACGTTACACAGAATATAGTTTTAAGTTCTTTCAATGGATGTTATTCTTATCTTCAAATCTTTCAATGAAATATAAATAGGACATTTTTATCATTTTATTCGAATACGAAATTGATTTACTCCATAGAATTCGTTTTTCTTTTCAAAAGAATACAACAAAATGACAGAAGACGGTTAATACAGATTTTGTCAAGGATGTTCGCTTGTCACGTGATCAATTTTTATTTTGTAAATCATCTACTGTTTCCTCCGCTTTGCATTAATCATTTCTGACCGGTAACCCCTACATTTAATATTTTTCTAAAGTTTACATGTCGAATACATATATATTCCTTTGAAATTCTCTTTGTTATTTCGAATATATTTTGATATCTTTATTTATACTAATATCTATCACATGACATATTCGGCGAAATCTTTATCCTGATAAAAATTAGAAATTTTTAAGTGATCGTATCCAAAATTCAAACTTAAGGGTCTTTCTTTACTTTTTCATAATTTTGATGTGTAATACATTATTTATTGATTTAAGGAATCATTGACGAATTTCAATAACGAATATTCTTAAATGATCAAATATTCTGATAATTGCAAAGATAACATACATTAAACCTGGGAAATTAAAAAAAACTTGAATGAAAAATGTATGACGTAATCATGACATGAAAAAACTTATCTCAGGTCAAAAACGTCTACTTTTATTTACAGCCATTCTAAATACTAACACCTTATTCATATAAAAAGCTAACATACTTTTGTATATTTGTATATAAGTTATAATTCCATCTAGATACAACTGTTTTACGAGATAAAATACTACATACAGAGTGCACATGCCTTTGAAAAACTTACTAATTAAATAGACGAAAGAAAACAAGCACACGTTTTCAAAAGATAGTAGTTGACAATCTCAAACTATAACCTCTTCAATAGACTACACAAATCAAATAAGAGACATGACCATGCTTACTTAAGTCAAACATTTGAACACATGTGCGTTGGACAAAAGTCAACCTTTTGATAATCTCTGAATGTCAGATTAATTTAACTAATACACAGAAACAACAAATGCAGAAAACTTTATTAGCATGTCATGTGTCTAACCCACAGAGTGAGTGAGCAACGTAGATAACATATATGTTACTTGTACTAATGAAACACGACTACTGTGGATTATAGAGAAATAAAATAAGGTTCAAGTCAGAAAGAGTTTTTTTTCAAAATGTAGTAGTAAATAAATGCCAGAGGAATGCGTTGAACGTTAGTTATCATTTTTGCTATACAAATTAGCGTTAAAGAATCGATTGATTATAAAAATAATCGTTAATTATAACTTCTGTATTTTATAGACTTTAAACATCATTGTATTGTAGTTAGAGTTATCATTCTTGGCACATTCACCTCTCTGACTCGAAGTTATAAACATAAAAGGCATGCGCTTTGGTACAACATAAATATACTGAAATAACAAGACTAATTCATAGTAATGACTTGTCATTTATAGAGTATTAAATATGGAGGTACACAACAGTTGTTTAAAAATAATGTTATAAAAACCAATGAACTGAATAAACTTTCAAAGTTTTGTTAAATTTCACCCAACATATGTTATCAATGAAACATCGTATCATTCGACAAAATATTTTGATTACTCTTGGTTATTTGTAATGACTTATATTCCAATCTCCTTTTATTCATAATAAGACAATTATATCAGGAGGCTTCACCTTTCAAATGCTTTTAAAATGTTTTGTTAAAATCTAAACAGTTTTTTATTTCTAACATATTCTGTTCCTCCTTTACATCATTAACACAGCACTCATTTAGCATGCGACAAGCTTGCATGTGGTGTAATCATAATAAGCGGCTATTGTCTACTTTTGGAGAGGTGTGCAAGACTTTATTAATAAGCGTGAAAACCAACTATCTATGCATAAGTTATCAAATACAATAAATTAATAAAAATACAATTAAGTTTTAAACTTATGACATTAATGTTAAAAAACAGAATTTTTTACAAATAAGAAATTAAAAACTTACGAGACAACGAATAAAAAGTTACCAAATGAATCAACTATAGAATTCTTATTTAAAAACAGATATTTGAAATAGAATTGAACAAAAATCGTTTTACTGAAAAAAGCCAATGTAACTTTCGCTATACACTAACACATTGTCATCTTCTTAATCATTCATCATAGAATATCAAAGACATTTTAAACGCTAAACATTACAGTTTGCCCCTTTGTTATGCCTCATCGTATTCATATTTAGATTTTGCTTTACAAATTTAGTGAATAATTAAGATATGAATGGCAACAATGTGCTTTCCTCCTTCAAAAACTAGCTTCGATGCACGAATGAGATAAAAGAAAACCAACATTTTCTATATTTTTCAGTAATTCATCTTTATGTAACTCAGAATAATTGACAGCCTACTCCGTTGCAATGACTAAAAAGATGACTTTGTTTTCTGGTCAAGCTGTTTTTTTAAACTTCTTTAGAAACTTTTTTTAAGTTTAATTATCTTCTGTATACTTAATATTTACCTCTGAGAATGTAGTCGAATGCCATCAATTCTTCCCTCCTACCATACCAAATTTCCATCTCGTCAACAACCATGTTCGCATCCTGGGTGGGTTCTGTTGAATCACCTGTGTTTGCCTTGCCTAGTAGTACATGCGGTCTTGTTTGTACCAGTGGAGTTTCAGTTGTTTCTGTGTGCGTGGATTTGGCAACCAATGAGTTGTTCAAATACAAACCAAGGCCAAAATCAGGGTGCCATGACACTTCAACAAAATTCCAAGTTGAAATGTCGAACTGTGGTATACGTACATGCCATTCTTTCCTATTTTGGTTAACCTTGACATTAAGATAGTTATCTTTTATGTACATACGTATTCCATTATTTCCGGTTGAGAAAATATATGAGTTGTCTTGAAGTCTTTGAAAATTCAGCCATGTAGAAACGGTGATTCCATTGTGACAAAGAGCGAGATTCCCTATACATTCTTCTGGATGTTCTCCTAAATCTAAGTACTGACCTCTTCCACTTAAGGAAAGCCCATTTCCTATTCGTCCCTGGACCAATATTGGGTTGCGGAATGTTGTTAAAGTCAGTCTTGAGTGAGGTACTGTTGTGCCATCAATAGATTCAAACGGAATGATGTAACTTTTAGGTTTGTCTGAAGTAAAACAATATAAGAATATTTTTAGAAATATTTAGAACAAATTAGCACAAAATAAATGCGACAGCGTTACATTGACAAAAATCATGTTAAAATTCACTGCTTATAAATTAAGTCCTAACTTAGCGCAGGTCTTTAATGCTCGCACGAAAATACGATTACTAGTACTATGTGGGTGATGCCTTCACTATATACCTATCTTTCATCAATAAACAGGTAATAAACTAAACTTATCAATTCGGAATTTGCCGCATTCCTGCGTTTTTCTTAATAAACTAACATTAGGAAGTCACAAAGAAACCAAGCTGAATAGCCAGGATCTTGCAAGCTTTTTTTTCAAAAGCGAATTAGTATGCGAGTTTATTTTGAAATTACTAACCACACAATTTTCATGATATTGTTTTGTGTACCCTTTGAGAACATCAACAGAATACTTAAGAATCTAAATCGGCGAATTCATGGAGAATGAAGCTACGATAACTGCGATGATACAATCGCGAACTTTCTTTTTCAACCAGGTGGAGTATCGTCGCAATGTTAATACATGCATGAAAGTGATGCGTTCTAAAGTTTTCTACATTAATATTTATCAGACACGTAAAGAGACTGACTTTTTAGGTAATATGCACACATTCTTTAGGATTTATTATATCAAAACCAACCTTCAAAGAGTATCCAGAACCAACATTATCTCAATAACAATTTTCTCGAGAGAGTTGGAACATTTTGTATCTAAATGTGTAGTAAACTGGGTTGATGACATTCAAAGAGGATTCACTAGTTTACCACAATTAACTATGAACCAAACGTAATAAATCAAACTAAACATGTACCAGAAATTCCTCAAAGCCGCGAAGCATAAAACTTAAAAGAATCAATATGATAACAAAGAAGTAGCAGAACAGACGAGTAATATTAATAGTAATTTTCCGCCCAGTTAATTTTATTTTTCCTTCATTGTTTTTATACCCTTATATAGTTGTTTCATATATGACTATATGTCGTCTTTACAATTAAAACCTTGCCTCGATTTAAATATCCAAATGCTTCCAAATAGCCACGTGGTCCATACCAGTACTCAAGTTCATCGAATACACCTTTCGCGTAGGTACCACGTTCCATGTTTACATTACCACGTCCTAAATAAAATTTATCTGCAACCGATCTACCAACAAGATCAGAAGGAATTTGATCATTCCTTCGATCAGATTTGTAGTCATCGGCAACTAATTTGTTGTTGATGTAAAGTTTCAATCCTATTTCAGGATCCCAGTCAATCTCGACAAAATTCCAATGGTGGACGTGAAGTTTGTCGGTCGTAACCTGCCATTTCCGTGTAGACGTGGCAGCAGTTATAATAAATTCATTTCCTTGGTTTGAAACGCTGATACCATTATGTCCATTGGATAAAAAGTGCATGTCATTTCCAAGATTTGTTGGTTTAAACCATAATGCCATTAAAGCACCATGATGGCAAAGGTCAAGGTTACCTAGACAACTGTCAGATTGTTCTCCTATATCTACTACCTGTGACTGGCCATTTAATTTCAGTGCTTTTCCAATTTTTCCACGGACAATTTTAGGTTTATTGTATGTATCGATTAGTAGAGATGGGTGGTCTATTATATCTCCTCGCATATTGTCTAATCCAAATTGGTATTTATTTGGTTTACCTATAACAGATCAAAAGTGTGAAATTACTTTGTTTTGTCGGTGTAACATGTTTTTTAAAATGCATGTTGAATTGGAATCTGTGGTTGTATTAATTTTGGGAAAAAAGCTTCATTCAAATCTATGAGTCAGGTTCATACTTAGAAGTCTTTTTTATCATGTTCATTTAATGGGAATGAATTTTGTATTTTTTCTTAAAAGCCTGGTATCTTTGATGAGTTTTTTTTAAGCGGGAAATATAGTTTTGTAAATATTCATCTTCACGAAGGTTATTGGTTAGTTTTAAAATGACACTTTGTAACAGAAAATATCTGTAATATACGTAACATACACACTTAAACATTTGCTATACATAATATTGAGTTCAAAATTGTCATTGAAGATATGCAATACTATTAATGGAACCACTTTATTGTAAGCACACACCACTGGTCAAGGTTAACACAGTTAGTTGGACCCGAAAATATCATAGATTTTTTAATCATTCATTTTTTGTTTTTTTTTCTATATTTCCTTTTTTACATTATTTATCGAAATTCTAAGGACGTTCTACACCAGGAATAAATTACCCAATAGCTGTATTTGGCAGAACCCTTCGGATTTTTTTGGTTCTCAATACTCTTCAGCTTTCGTACTTTATTTGAACTTTTTAACTTTGTTTATTCGAGCTTCACTGGTGAGTCTGTTGTAGACGAAACGGGCGTCGTGGGTACACAATTTCAATCCTGGTTTCTATGATGAGTTTATCTATATTAATGATTTTAAAACATTCTTAGTTTTTCGAAAAATGATGTACAAAAAAGGAATATGGAACAAACTAATTTATATTTCAAACCAAAATAGTGTGTAATTTAGGAGGTTTTTGTTCGACTTGATCACATTCTTATCACCCAATATAGTAATTTTTAAATTCTCTTCTCACCTCTCTGAATTAAATCTAAATCCAGTAGAGTCTGTCGTTTTCCATAATACATGTCTACTTCATCTATGATTGCTGAAGGATTCATTTCTTGTCTTCTATCACCATGGGAACGGCCAATGAAGAAGTTCCTCTCATTTGAGGGTTGGAGACGCTCAGAGGTACTACGACGTTGAAAAGATGCTCTTTTCAAATCAAGAAACATCTCCGTACCCTTTTCTGGATCCCATGTTAATTCTACATAATGCCATTTTCCAACTTCCAAACCATAAAAACTGTCTCTCCAAACTTTATTGTCACTTCGCACTTCTGCATACATTGTATACTGCTCCGAGAAAATATTGAAACCAGTCGAGCTACTTGAAAAGTAGTATGTTTTGGTTGGAAGAGTTGTTGGGTTGATCCAAAATGATATGGTGAAACCATAGAGACAACGTACTGGATCCCCAAGACACGTGTCTTGTAAGTTTCCAACATCGATGTAATCACCGCGACCGGTAAGTGCGATAGCTTTCCCGATTTTCCCGTCAACCAATGAAACGTCTCCTACTATTTCGGTCTCAGCATTGTCTACAATTAGCTCTTGTCCAGCAACCTCATTCATATTGAGGTAGTATCTGTACATAGGACCTTAAATAATACAACAATATGAATTTTTAAAGGGATGCGCGAAGCCAATACTATAGTTAATATCAGTAAGCTCATAAACATCACAACAGAAGGACAGAATTTGACAACTAACAATTGTTTTTACTTTAAGATTCGAATTATTATCTGACACTACCCTTTATTCATTTTTCTTAAGCTAGTGAAAAAAGTTTTTCTTTTAAAGTCGAAGGGGTTAAATATTTGTGTTCCATATCAATCGATCGGAAATCCATACAAAACCAAAGAACCTACCATTTTCTTGTATTTGTTTTTGTGACAACATCTTCGGCCAGAAGCGGAATTCATCAACTGTAATTTGTCCTAGGTTGTTTAGTCCCTGTCTGTCATTAGATCTACCAATTATGAAATCATTATATCTGACTGAACCCCTTACTGCAACTCTGGAAAAGATTTAATTCACTCAATACAAGATATATCATGTAGAAATAAATAACCCTGCATTAATATTAATGCAGAATTTGTTTTATTTTATAGGATACCTTATTAGCAACGCAGAACTTCAATACATTGGCGAAGTACGTGTTCCCGAAAGGATGTTGGGTTTTAAAAAAAACTTTAGAATTCTTATCTCTTTTAAGAATCAAAACTCATCAACGACACCAGGTTCACAATTTGCTACACCAGGTGTGCGTTTTCTCTACCTAAGACCAATCGGTGGCGCTCGAATAAAAAAAAATAGATGCAAAATCAAACTCGAAATTGAAGAGCATTGCAAGACAAAAAATTGTTCTGAGAAGCCAGCCACATACGGCTGCGATCTTCTATACATGGAAAGGAGGGTAGAGGTGCTAGAAAATTCGTAAGGGTTCCGCGGAACCCCGTGTCTCGCCTACTTTTGCTGTTAGTCGCAGGCTCAACAAAAATGGGGAAATAATTATTAAAAATTTTCCACTAGATACTATCTTTTGAATGTAAGAAGCTTCTGTTCAAGTCTGGTAAGAATCCAGGATGGTTTATGAATCTAATAAATGTTTTAAAAACTTTTACTGCAGACTGTATGTAATTTTAACTGGAAGAAAAACTAAAAACTAAGTCCATTTGTAAGATATATACAGAAAAACAGGAATTTTTTTTTTACAAAATTTCCTTCTAGATACTAGCTTTTGATCATAAACAAGCTTCTGTCCAAGTTTGGTACAAATCCAGGATAGTTTAAAAAAGTTATTAAAATTTTGAAAACTTTAACCACAGAGTGAATGTAATGTTAACTGGCAGGTAAAACAAGTCCATTTATAAGTAAAATACGGATAAACAGGATTTTTTTTAACAAAATTTACTCTTGAAAACTATCTTATGATTATAAACAAGCTTCTGTCCAAGTATGGTACACATCCAGGATAGTTTGAGAAAGTTATGAAAATTTGAAAAACTTTAACCACAGAGTGAATGTAATCTTAACTGGCAGAAAAACTAAATCCATTTATGAGCAAAATACGGATAAACAGGATTTTTTTTTTACAAAATTTACTTCTGGATACTATCTTATGATAATAAATAAGCTTCTGTCCAAGTTTGGTAGAAATCCAGGATAGTTTAAGAAAGTTATTAAAATTTGAAAAAATTTAACCACAGAGTGAATATTTGTGGACGCCGCCACCGCCGCCGACGGAATGGAGGATCGCTATGTCTCGCTTTTGCGACAAAAGTCGCAGGCTCGACAAAAAACCGTTTTGTTTCAAATATTGCAAAATTTTATAAAAAGAAAATTTCCAAAAGATGACCGTTTCAATGATACATCATGTCAACATAAATTGCTGACTACTGGACTGGTGATACCCTAGGTATAAACATCCACCAGCAGTTGCATCGACCCAGTAGTCTTAAAAACTCACCAGATACCATGCTTACAATTTAAAATACCAGACGCGCGTTTTGTCTACACAAGACTAATCAGTGGTGCTTGAATAAAAAAAAAGTGGTGAAAGCAAAATCAAATACGTTTGAAGCATTGCAAGTCAAATATTCCAAAAAAAATGTGCCAAATACGGCTTTCACCATCTATACATGGGGGTAGTATTTAAAATTTCATTAACTGAAAATTTACCAAAAAATGACCATATCAAGGATATTTCATGCCAACACAAAATGCTGGCGATACTCTCGATACGAAACGTCTCCCAGCAGTTGCATCGACCCAGTGGTTGTAAAAACTCATCAGATACCAGGCTTATAATTTGTAACACCAGACGCCCGTTTCGTCTACATCAGTTCAAATTGTTACATAACAGTGATCATAAAATATTTCGTTTGAGATAGACATCTGTAAATTTTTACATTGCAGTGCATTTTGTTTACAAAGAACGAAGACGACAGATCTTAACTTTTTATATCGATACACCCACTTGAATTGAAACATAAATGTACATATTAAATAGAAAGTCGTTTTCAATACTTTATAATTCAAAGTTTTGAAATTTAAACACTCCTTTGAGTGGTTTAAATGAATAATGCATGTTATGATTATGGTTAATAAGAACTTTTTATAATTAGTTTAGCTATCCAAACTGGCAGTAAACAATATCGCCTACAATACACCTTCAACCGGTCTTTGTGCATGTTATATTAATTATTATTGTGTAGAAGATTAAATGATGAGTCATTTTTTCATACCAATGATTTCCTTTAAAAGACATTTTAGGGATAGATTATTTAAGAAGTTATTACCTCCTACCTTTTTGATTACCACTGAGACAATAGACGACCAGCTGCAATAACTAAGACAAAAAAGGTTCACATCAAAACCCTCTAGATATAACCTATTTGAAACTTTAATGTTACAGCGGAAACCTTACCCTACCTATCCTAAAGAGACAGTCAAAAAATACATAAGATACATATATCCAACCAAATATATACCTTATCAAAGTACAAGATGGATACCAGAGCTAATCCTAATAAATAGTAAAAAGACACATTAGATTCCTAGGCCAAGCCCAACATAAACATAAACGATCGTGAACCTAAACAAACCCCTTGAAGACACAAAAAAGGATATCAAGGATACCAAAACCAGTCCTGATAAAGACAGTACAAGGACTCATGATCGGATACGTAGGCCATACTTAACAGAGATATAAAAGGTCAAATCGGACCGTAAGCAAATCCCAATACAGCTACAATAAGGACATATCGATACCTCAACCAATAGAGACATCATACCTAGACCAAAACTTGAAAATGATATGAAAGGACACGTCGGATACAAAAGTGAAAACCTGCAGGCAATGAAATAACACATTGGACACCTAAGCCAAAACCGGCGAACCAAGGAAAGGACAACTCTGATGCCTATAGTAATCCAGAAATGAACATAATAAAGATATCTAGACCAATCATCTATTTGCTATTGTTGAAGAGATAATCACATACCAAACATACTGACATCCTACCCTCAATGATTACCATGATTACTATTTCATCGCGATAACCTTTAGTTTATCAATTTATAAATAAGATTTAGGGACATTCAACTTGTAGCCTACAGTAAAAGGTTTACACCTGATTAAAATTTGATTGACGAAAGGTGATTGTATAAAACATAAATTTTGTAAACTTGTATTACAGGGAGCATGACTGATGTGTCAATGGAATGCTTTAAGCATTTCATACTTAAATAATGCTTAATCTTACTCGTTTGTAAAATGCTGATTTTTTTGGTGGTAGTAACATTTTTATTGTAATGCTTACCCACATTGACATATAGCTTGAAACAAAACAAAATGTGTACATGTTTAAAGTTATCCAAGTTATTATCTTTCAAAAAGGCGATAAACTTAAAAATAAAACATTCACCTGCAGTCACTTGATATATCAAAGTGCTTGTTAGCGCTGAAGGGTAAAGATTGCTTTCATTTTGCAATTTTGTGAATCAAAAATACAACATTGAATTGTATTTAGCTAGGCAAATTATCAATCTGAGATAGAGCTACCTTACTTGGTCAATGATTGTAATTTGTAGTTAAACCTTTTTATAACAGATTCATACGCTACGTATTACTTATGTAATTTATAATAAAAAAAGTTCTCTTGAAAAGTATGGTAATTCAAATACAAATAATATTTTAACTTAAATATCTTAGTATAACATATCATCAATAAATTGCATCATATTGACTAGATATGAACTAAAGAATGATCACTTCACTGCACTATTTTGTTTGCACTATCAAAGGTAGTGATTAACCTTGGATGATATCGATATCAAGGCAGTACCATAAGGGTTTTGATTGCATTTCATGCTATCTTTACCCTACAAAGAATGTAGTGTTAGTCAGACCGGATGAGTTTCAATGGCAATACTTTATATATCATTGGATATTGAAACAATACACCTGAGAATATTGCATATTGAAATAAAGTACTTATAACTGGAAAAACTGATAAAGATCCTTTTTGCCAGTATAATCATGATAATGTATTGATTACTCTTTTTCTACGGTGAAAGGAATCATCTAGTCTATTTTAATTTAGAAAATGCTGAATTGTTAAAATGAAGACATAACTGAGTGTAACTGCAAAAAGCCATACCAAAAATCAAATGTAAAGTAAATGGTATAATCTTCTTTTCGGGCCAAACTAAAATTGAAGTTTTAACCAAACTAAAAGATAGTATGGTTATTAAACACACTAGTATCTAAGAGAATAAGTATTTTTTTTATCTAAATTGCTCTTACTATTATTAACATGGTTGGTGCTACAAGCGGAACAAAAAATACTAACTTCATGTTTTTACCATTGAAACAAAAAAAGGGTACATAATCCTTAATGGTAAAGTAACATATTGTGACAAAATGTTAAGTAAAGAATGATAATGATTGTTATCAGGGTAGTTAAAATACCTTCTCTGTGGCAAGTTCATTCTGTTTACAAGATTCCCATTAATATAAAGATGCAGTCCCCTATTCTGAATCCAGGACACAGTAACGTGGTACCATTTATCAGCTAAGAAATTGTCATCTGATACTGTCCAATAGTTTCCGTTTTTACTACGGAAGATAAATTTGATTCGTCCGTTGTGGTAGGTCATTGCAATACCATGTGACATTGCATCATGACCGCCATTGGACAGATAAATTCCCTCGTTGCGTCCTGGGTTTGAAAACTTCAACCACATTCCCATGGTATAACCTTAAATATAAATCACACAAAACATTTTAAAATATGATATATTGCGCTTTAATACTGTACATAGGGAAATTCGAGCATGTGTCTAAAGTTCGCTATTTTCCCGATAGACATTTTACCACGAATTTTTCCTATACGAACATTTCAACGTTCATTTAAATGCATTGTACAAAGTGAGGAAAAGCTAAAAATTAGAACAGTGAGGATTTAACTGTGTCATGTAAGGACCATACTGCGAAAAAAAACGATGCCAAACTTTATATACCGTATTAGCTCGTTTTTTAATGAAATGATGGTCCAAACAGCTCCAGTGATTTCCTAAAATTGGGGGCTACTTTCATTCTTGCAATTCTGGAATTCATTGACCTACACCATGTACACCTATATGTAAGCGATAAGGCACGCGATGAGTTTATAAACTTAAAATTTTTCAGAAATGTTTTTATGGCATTGGGCTAGGGGAGTGTCGTAACTATGTATTTTGAAGACATATTAATGAAAAATCTTTAGGACCTGATAATCCTAAGAACAGGAAGCCGACTAACATACCGAAAGAACAAAAGATAAGAACATGACTATACGTGTAGAAAAGAGAGAACATTGACAATTAAAGAATACAAATTTTAGTTGAGCATTTTTGTATAGTTTTAAAAATCGTGTCTTCTACGTATACACATTTTCCCCTCTCGAAACGGTCTGACGGAGAGTACCGACATGCACAGTAATGGCACTGTAATGGTTCTAGAAACTGGTTCATACACTCATTCTTACCTTCATAGCACAGCTCAAGGTTGCCGAGACATTCTTTACGGTGTCTTCTACCGCTAACTTTGAGGTACTGTGTTTGTCCATTAATCTGCAAAGCATTGTTTTTAGCGCCCTTTATTAATTGTGGTTGTCCAGTGACAGTTGAGTCTAAACCAGATGGATTTTGGAGAATATTGTTCTTGATGCTGTCCATAGGAAGATAGTAAAAGGAGACTCCATGATCTAAAATATGTCGAAAGACCATAAAAACATTTACCAAATAACAAAGAAATCAAATTTATTCAAAACCTAACTGTCTAATAAATCAACTAATATGGTTAATGACAAAGTCAACAAAACGTAGAAGAACAAACATGTACACTAGTGAATTAATTTTGAACTGAAACAGTAATTTTGATCTGAACAGCTCTTATTAAATACTGTTCTGTTTTTCAGTTAACCATGTTAACATAAATCAGGCCGTTAGTTTTCTCTTTTGAATTGTTTTACAATTGTCATTTCGGGGCCTTTTAATGCTGACTATGCGGTATGGGTTTCACTCATTGTTAAATACCGTACGGTGATCTATAGTTGTTAACTTCAATGTCATTTGGTCTCTGGTGGAGATATGTCTCATTGGCAATCATACCACATCTTCTTATTTTAATATTATACACTGCTATTCAGATATATCAATTTATGAAAATAACTTCAATCTTAACAAGACTAAACGTTTTGACTTTTCAAATGATGTTAATATCAAAAGGACTACAATTCATTTATTAGTGGAAAAAATAACAAGAAGAAAGCATCTATAATTATATATGATATACCGGTAGTTTATAATTCAATTACGATTCGGGGCCTCGGTGGCCGAGTGGTCTAAGTAGTCGAACTACTGTATCACTAGCCAGTCACCACTGAGGTTGTGAGTTCGAATCCCGCACGCGGTAGGTGCACTCGACTCCAATCTTAATTGACTAGGATTGTCAGGTTTCATACCGAAGATTGGTGGTTCTCTTCGGCCTCCTCCAATAATAAAAACTGACTGCCACGAAATAGCACCAGTGTTGAAAGTGGCGTTAAACACCAATCAATCAATCAAATACGAGTCCCCTATCCTGAGTAATAACGACTGTGTCATAAACGAACCTATGTTTTCTGTTTTCGTGTTGAAAAGCAGAGAATATATTTCAGTTTTGCATTATCATGATTTTCTTTCAAGTCATTACAATCTTTTGGACAATTTATCTTGACTTTTTTATGTTTCTCATCTTCAATTGTATTGCAGACTAAAATGAATGGTAATGGGTAGTAACTTTTATGGTAACTTCTTAAATAATTGAAAACTCAAGGATAATGTTGGCAAATGACGGATTACGTGGAATGGGAGATCCCTTTTATTTCTTTCTACATGTCTTTCAGTGTTTTAGAAGTTTTTAACTAATACAAATTATTCTCTATTGACTATTACTATAAACAACATGCATTCGAACAATAATTTTGTCTGAAACAAACATTCTCATAAAGATAACTAACCCGTTCGGTTATTTTGGTGGGTTTTTTTTGCGTTTTATGTTGCTAATATTTCCAATTTTATAATTCTCTTATTAATATTCTACTTAAAAAGTAGTTGGTTTTCTCTTTTGCAGTATTTAATATTTTATCATCATTTGGGCCTCTATTTGGTTTTGCTAATTTTTACGGCTGCACGGTTACATGAAGTTGTTCACATCCCTCTCTGCCCTTTGGTCTTTGGTGGATAGTTGTTTCATTCGCCCATCTTCCTTTTGTACATATGTAAGTGTATGTGTCAATTAGACATTATCCCGACACAATAACAAAACACACAAAAAAGCCACCAAGAGTACATGTGGCAATCACCTGTAACCAAAACTTTTAAACTAAATAGAAATATAAAAATAAGGAGATGAGGTATGATTGCTAATGAGACAAGTGTCCACCAAAGTTCAAATAAAGTGAATGTAAGCAATTATAGCTATAGGCAACTGTATATATATTGCCCATAGCTATAATTGCTTACATTCACTTTATTTGACCTTTGGTGGACAGTTGTCTCAATTACCGTATAGTCGGCTATAAAAGGCCCCGACATGAAAAATATGAAACAATTCAATTTAGAAAACTAACGGTCTGATTTATAACAAAACAATTAACGAAAAACAAATATGATAGACATGATTGAACCAACGACAACCACTGAACTACAGGCTTCTGACTTGGGACAGGCGCATATATATAGAATGTGGCGCAAGTTTGAGCTATGAAGGCGGAGAACCTTATCAACAAAACTTTTCCCGCGTTCGTTTTCAACCTTTGTCTTGCTTTATTTATTACATTTTGTTTTGTCTGCATGCAATTGTTCCAACAACAATTTTATAAGAAAGAACTAGATTTCCCCTCAAAATAATAAAAAAAAGAACGAAACCATAATCTTGGGTTTGCGACAAATCAGTAGTTAAAACATGCTTTGTGAATCATTTTGAACATGTTTTTATCGGAATTTGAAGAACATAAATTACCAGTAACATTTTCTTAACGGCAAACAATTTGTTGTTGCTAATCATTACAATCGCAAGATGTGTTTGATGATCTGCTTCGTTGAAATGTAGTAATTGACAAGCGTACATACCGTATTTATATGTCATGTATGTCTATGTGCAGTTCATCGATTTTTTAACATTCAATCCTAATTAACAAAAAACATGTAAATTCCATGTAACTTTGTAATTAACAAGGGTAATCAGGCTGTAATTCCAGTCGAGTGCTGAGAAATTACACTCAGACATGCTTTTGATCATTTTGCTCCCGACAATATAAATCAGAAATAGAAACATGCTTTGAAGTATAACGTGAAGCAAGTGATTATACGGAAAATTAAGAGAGGCGGAAGAAGATAGTTGAAAACAAAATGACAACGCCTTGACCAAAAACGGAAACGACCAAAAGACGAAACATAGAAAACTGAAGACTTAACAACACAAACCCCATCAAATCCTGGGGATCTCATGCATGCATGTGCTCTGGAAAGGTTAATATATCCTTCTTTGAAGACTTCATTTGATTTAATAGTGAATTATATATCAACAATGATAAAAGGACTACATGTATATCTGTAGTCCATGGATACAATGTAAACTAATAATTTCCTAACTCGATTGTTTTATCCGAAATTATTTAGGGAGCTACCATTTGATTTTTATGGGGTGGGGTGGGGGGTGGGGGGGGGGGGGGGGGCTAGGATGAAAAATTGTGTCCTGCATTTTTTTTTAGCTGTAATCTCTGTCCTGCCTTTTTATTTTTTTCTCTATTCGGTCCTGCCTTTTTTTTAATAGTTTATCCCGACTTTTTTTACATAAATTGTCATCCTGCCTTTTTTTTTGCCAAGTTGCTCAAAACTTCTGTTCTGCTTTTTTTTTAAATTTCATCCTAGCCCCCCCCCCCCCCCCCCCATAAAAATCAAATGGTAGCTCCCTTACTGCGAATGTAAAGTATAATAACAATGCAATAATTTGAAGTAATTATCTGTTATTTTATATTTTAGGTGGATCGGGAGATACAGGTTAAATATTTCAAACTTTTACAGCTAAGTAAAAACACGGTTTTGCACATACTGGGAGAGATATCAACCGTCTGACGTCTGACGGAAGAATTAGGTTTAAAATTTTCATATACTAAGTACGTAGCTATCCTTATTTATTCCAGCAAGCTAGCTTAGATACAGCTAATCCCAAAGGTATAAGTTAGTTCAATAGAAATGAAAAGATCAGTTTTAATGCATTATATCTATCTGCACAAGATACAATTAGACTCGACACATCTCAATACGAGAAAGTTTATAGTTTTGGCGCAAAATCAGGTTTTTATGTAAAATTATATTGTATACATACGCCAGTCAAATGTATTTCACTAATATGCGTGAAAAAGGTTAGGAATTTCAGAATAAAATGGGTTTTTTTTCTTGTACCTCCCTCGTAATTCGTGTTGATCAGTCTGTACTTGATAGCTGTGCAGATAGGTATGTGAAGTAAATACCAATAAAAAAAATGTTTGCGTCTATAGCAAGATGCTGCCAAGTGTCTGTCATTAGTTTGCAATTAAATCGTACATAATATTTTTTTCTTGCACTGTCAGCAAAAGATGTATCTCAATTTTCACTCGAAAGACATGTAGACAAGGACTATGTAATCGGTTAATTGCAAGATTTATATACCCTAAAACAAAGTCAACCGACTTATTTCCGAAGAAAGAAACTATACAGAACATATCTCACTCAATCCTATTATCATTAGAATCAAGGAAGTATAGTCAAAATTAAACTTCCGTAATTGAATTAAGCAATTGGTCTTGAAATAATGGAGGATTAGGAGTGTTAAAGTAATTGTGCCCTGACGGATCCAGGAATTAAGGGGAGTGTTTTGAGGGGATTGAAACATCCATTTCTTTCGATTTTTTTTTAATTACGTAAAAATCGGCAAAAATTTGACGGGAACCCTTTGTCAGACAAGAGAACTTTCCACGCAACCTCTTTAAATATTTCTAGATCGCACCTATTGACATTTTTCTATGTACAGTGGCAAATATTTCAGTGGTTTATCATTTCAACCTCTCACTAAAGGAAAATATGCGTAGGAAATAACAATCTCGGATAAAGTCCTCATTTTGTTTCCTATACTTAAAATAAATCAAGATATTATTAATTATTAGCCGCAAGAATGTCGTCAAAGGTCAAAGGTAAAGAGAATAGTTGGGTTCATAATCACCAATGCACTGTGAGTGATGTTGATGCTGTGTAAGGAAACAGACTCAAGTTTTCGTGAGAAAACTGAGGGAAATTTGTCAAAAGTCGCTGAAAAAAAAACAAAAAAAAAACAAGGTTACAATGATACGTCTGTGAAGCTTTTTAATGTTTGAAACAAAGTTTCATGTCGGGTTGTAGCTAATTAACAGTGGCAGATCCAGAAATTTTCATAAGGGGGGAGGGGTCCACTGACTGCCCTAAGAGGGGGTCCGCCTATGATTAATAATGAAAACCCACAATAGAGTAATATTGCTTATATATTATCAGATCATAATACGTCACGGTAGATAATGTGCCACTTGTTATATGCATATTGTTTACATAAAATGTCAATTTAATTTTTTACACTTGGATTACGAATTGGATTGGTTTTGCTTTAACTTGACCAATAACTTTGTGCGAATTCATAACTCGTTGTCGA